ACCAACGACATTTTGAAAAGTCATTTTGCTGTGTTATTTTTCTGCGTGATTAATGGTTCCGTGCCTGGTTGGTAAACTTCGTTAGTGCAAGCCGGCGGAGGCCCGTACGCAAAGCGGCCAGCGGGCTCGGCCCATCCATCTCCCGCCCTGTTGGTCTCCAGGTCTCAGAGGCAGGAACAGCGAAGCAGAAAGTGGGGCGGCTTTGTGGGGAGGGAGCTTCCCCTGCTTTCTGGGCTCCCCAAATCTGCTCTGAGGGCCTCGGCAGACGGTGCCTGTTTAAGGGGCTGCATCTGGGGGCGTTGGTGGCTGGAGGTCGACCTCCGGAGAGGGTCCCGCAGCCCTGAGTAGCAGTGCTGAGGTCGAGGGGGCCCAGCTTCCCTCCTCCCTCCCTTCCTTCCTCTTCTACCTGCCAGGGGCCTGCTGGGTGGGCGGTGGCAGACCCAGCCTGCCTCCTGGGGCCACCATCCCAATGAGAAGAGCCTGCAACATGTTGATGGGGGGCCAGAGGCTGAGGAGGGGGGTGAGGGGCTGAGGGGCCGAGAGGAACAGGGCTGTTGCAGACAAGGGCCTGGCAAGGGTCTCAAGGAGGGACGATGGGCTGGAAGGAAGCAAGGGAGGGAGTGTGGGGTCGTGCAAAGGTCCTGGGGCAGAAACAGGACAGTCAGGGCACAGGGTGGGTGGCACAGTGGGGCAGTGTGGGGGGGCAGCAGGCGGCAGGAGGATGGGAGGAGGCAGGGGAGGAGCCAAGAGTGGGAGGGAGCCCCGGAAGCCCAGGGCCATCTCCCCAACACTGGGACATCATGTCTCCAACCCGCGCCCCTCAGACAGAGCTGACCCCACAGTAGCACCCCTAAGGCAGAGGTGGCCCTCCACAAGCCCCCAACCCTGCCACCGAGGTAGAAGCGCACCCAGAGCGGCAGGCGGGCGAGGGCAATGGTGGGGACGCTCCTCCCCTGCTGCATTATTGATCAGAGACAGACGGGGAGCCGCCCACGACAGGTGTGGGGCCGCCCGCTCGCCCGCTGCCCCGCCTGCCAGAAGCTCGCACCGCAAGGCTAGTGAGGCAGGGGGAGGGGTTCAGGCCGGGGTGGTCAGGCCAGGAGGAAGGGCCCTGAGGGGGGAGGCCACTGCTTAGGTGCTTGCAATTCCTGCCCGTCTGGTGGCAGGAACAGGGGGGGAAATTTCATCTGGTGACGACCAGGCCCTCGCCTGCCCCGGGGCCCCTGGACCTCGGCAGGGCCCAGCCACTGCAGCCTCAGGTAAGCACCGCCCGCACCCCCCGCGGCCAGAAGGCGGCTCGGGCGGGACCAGAGCTGCACCCAGTGCGGGGGGAGAGAAGCACCCAGAGAGAGTCCAAGGCCACCTTTGGGGGCGTCGGGTGCCAGGGTGGTTGCTAAGTGTTCTTCCTCGCCATCGGGATTGGCTGAGGGAACGAGGGGACCTTCCCGGCGGGGAACCTGTCGGGGAGGGGAGGGTGGGCGCCCTCCGGGAGCCCATGGGGGAGGTGTGAGCTCCGGCCTGGGGCTGTGTGGGCCCTGTCCTGCTTCCTGCGCCCCCAGGGCACAAGGGTGCAAGGACACCCACTCACTTCCAGGGTCATGCCAAGGGCCCCTGTTGGAAAGCCCCACCCTGGGCCCTGGCAGTGACATTGGCCTTGGGTGTTGGGGGCTGGCGCTGTTCTCCTGGCGGAGAAAGAGCCACCTGGGGGCTGAGGCCACAGCAGGGTCTACAGGCAGGGACCTCGCCTGGCAGCCGCGCCCTGGTTTCTGGATTTGGTACTGGGGTGGGGCCAGCTCGGCGCAGCTCTGGGGAGTCTGGAGGGCAGGCCGGCCATGGGTGGGGGGTGGCTCCCCTGCTTCTGTGCAGGCAGTGGGCACGGTGGGCTCTCCGACCCGACGGCCTTGGTGCCCCTCAGGAGCCCTTGAGGGGTCGTGACGACACAGCAGGCGCTCCCTGGCCCAGGCAGAGGGCCACCCAGTTCAGTGCGTCTGCGGACAGGCCCAGGAGCAGCCTGCCCACCCACCTCCCACAAGGGAAAACCCACAGAAGTGTGAGGTCGCTACAAGGCCACCGCCAGCCGGCCACTCTTGTAAACACCTCCCATTTCTGAAGCTCATGTAGGCGCTCGGAGGCCTCTTTCTAGAGTCCGGGGGTGGGGAGCCTCTCAGCACCTGCAGCGGGGACCGCGTGCCCTTGCTGGGACCCAGTACCTCAGGGTGCTGTTTTGAGGGCCCCTCCCAGAGGACTTGTGGTGGTGCCCTGTCCCTTCCTAAGCCCAGCCAGGTGTGACCACATCCATAGGCAGGCAGACCCCCCTGGAGCAGAAGGAACAGCCTCTGGGGCCCCAGAAACACTTCTGTGTCTGTGGTGATGGTGGCCCTGGGCTCCGGCCTGGCTCCTACTGGGTCCCCGGCATCCCACGATGGCCCTCAGCCCAAACGTGTTCAGCCGGAGCCTGGCGTGCCCTTCACAGTGAAACTCCGTTCACCCCCAAACCTGCGCCCTTGCCACCAACTCCCCACAAGGATGTTGGGGGCTGTGTGTCCCCGGGACACAGGTGTGTCCCGTCCAGGCTGTACAGAGCACAGCAGTACAGGGCAAGTGCCCAGAGTCACCTCTACCGACGGCCCGGACCCGTCAGAAACGGGGGAACCTCCCCCTGCGGCCGAAGGAACCCGGGCCTGAAGCCCACAACCGCTCGGGGTCCTGTGCCCTGGCCCCCTTGGCACAAAGCAGGTGCCTGGCAGTTACCTGCGTCGAGGTGGGAGCCGCGACCACAGCTCGTGACATGCCAAGACCGCCGCGCTCATCTGGCCAGCGCCTGCGGGTCCTCGGGCCCCGCGTGCCGGGCACAGGCTCTGGGGACTCGTCGGGCTAATGTGACTGTGAGTGCCAGGCGGCCCTGCCTCCTGGCCCCAGGCCCTTCCCGCAGCCCTGCTCCATTACCATTACGCTCCGGCCTCATTAGGGTAATTAAAATGAAAGTAATCAAAGCAACAAGGAAATCTCTTAATAAACTGTCACCACTGCGTTCATCGCTCAGGCCCAGCGCCTCCGTGAAGGTCGAGGGCCTGCCTCGCAGTCCAGGAGCCAGGCGGGAGAACCAGGCCCTGCTGACCACACCCGCCTGCTGAGGCCGACCTTGACCCAGACTCCTGACAGGCCACAGGGCCACGTCCCAGGAGACCCAGCCCTGGGACGGGAAGCGGAGACGCAGCGCCCCCACGCCCAGCGCCCCCACGCCCGGCCTTGTTACACCCACGTCCCCACAGTGGGCACCCACCTGGTTCCCTGCAGAGGACGGAGCTTTGCCTGGCGCCGGGGCCCTTGGCACCCCGAGTAGGGAGGCACCCTCGCCCAAAGCAGCACCATCTTCCCAGGGACTTGGGTGCCCCCAGGGCAGCTGCGGGTGAAGGGACCTTTCCTCCTGCTCTTGGAGGGGGAGGGGGCAGGGTTCCTAAAATACCACCTGATTCTGCAGCTCCCTCCTCACAGGTGAGGTGAGCCCAGCCTGGGGGCTCCTGTCACGGCTCCTCAGGGCCACCTCCAGGGCCTCGCCCCAAGGAGAGCCCAGAGGGAGGAGCTGGCCAGAAAGGGCTGGAAGGGCCCAGGGTGCAGTCTGCCCTCCCGCAGCTGGGAGAAGCCCGTGGGGAGGGCTCTGCACGGCTGGGAAGACCCATAATGTAGGAGGCCGGCGGCCTGGGGGCCGTTTCACTGGCAGCAGCCTTCGGGAGGCCGGTAGAAAGGGCCCTAAGCAGCCTGGCCGAGCTCTGGGGGCAGCAGAGGCCAAGGCGACCCCACCCACCCCTCAGCTACTTCCTCATCGGTGGGGATAATGAGGATGCGGGGCGAGGTGCAGCCCTACATGGCAGCCAGCCTCACCCTGGCGGCCAGTGGCCCCGCACTTTGAGCCCCCCAAATCAGCTCCGAAGCTGCCGCGAGCCTGGACCCTCCCCGCGCTGAGGCTGGGAAGCCACCGAGCCGGCCAGGGGGCGGGGCCGAGGGCCTGGTGGGGCCGGGCTGGAGCGTGGGGCCGACCAGGGCGCCCGGCCGCTGGGGGCGCCGCTGAGCCGCGGGTGGCGGGTGTTGACGCTCTCCAGGGAAACGCACGGGCCACCCCAGCCCGGGGCGCAGCGTTGGTGGGGCGCCTGGGAGCCCAGCCCCGCGGACCCTCCACAGGGGCGCGCCCACCCCTGCTCCGCCCGCCTCCAGCCAGTTTGGGGCGCCTGAGGCTTTGCCTTCCCTGTGCGCCCTGCACGAGCCAGTGACCCTGTGCGTGCACTAGTGAGTATGTGCGTGTGTGCGCGTGCACGCGTGAGCGTGTGAGCCTGTGGCCCGTGTGCTCGTGCGTGAGTCTGGCTGTCAGCGCTGACGGGGTGGGGGCTGGTCTGTGCGCGCTTTGGGAGATGGGAGGGGAAGAGCTGCTGGCATGGGAGCTACTTCTTGAGGCCCCAGGGTGTGGGAGGGCAGAGGACACAGCCAGGCTGGTCCCCATCTCGGAGCCAACCAGGCCTGGGTCCAGGGCCCCTTACCACCACCCAGGAGCCCCGCAGGTGCCTTGGCAGCCCGGCACCACTCCCGCCCACACTGGGTGTGGCCCCAGGGCCAGTGGGCCTGTGGGGTCAGTGCTGGGAAGGCCGTGGTGCTCATGTGACCCGGGGTGATGGGGGTCCGCCTTCCTGAGGGGCCTGTGCTGGCAGGGGCCACTCTGTGGGGGAGGGGGCTGAGGCCCAGAGGGAAAGGTGGGCTGGGAACCTGGCCAGGCAGAGCCCAGTCAACGCCCCCAGCCCAGGGAGACCACCCTGGAGCAGACTCCACCCTGACAGCTGAGCCCACCGTACTCTCCCGAAACAGGGCTCCACTCTGACGCGGGGGTCTCAGTGGGGAGGACTGGGGGCCGCAGGGCCGAGGGGCTGACCACCGTCTGAGCACTGACCACGACCCCGCCCCACGGCAGGTGCCCCTGTGGACTGGACACGGACCCATCGGCGGCACGGGCGTGATGTCGGCCCAGGAGCTCGGGGCCTGCCTCTGCCGGGAGGGCGACCAGCACCTGGCCCTGGGGGAGCCGCCGCTGGCCACCGCCTTCTACCTGGCTGCCTTCAGCTGCCACGCCCCCTCTGCGGTGCGCAGCGTCCGAGCCGCCCTGGCCGAGGCTCGGGGGGCACCCGTGGTGGCCACCCTGGAAGCCTGGTGCCGAGGGGACAGCCAGATCCCAGCCATCCACTGGGACGGCATGGCCGTGGTGTCCCTGACGGGCACCCTGGCCTCCGCCTTCCTGGCCACCCTGTGCCCGGACCACCCGGCCGCAGTCCTGCACTCCCTGGCCGGGCTGCTGGCCCGTGGGCGCCACAGGGAGGTGGTGAGGCAGTGTGACGCCTTGCTGGACGCCCACTCCCAGCAAGGCCTGGAGCTGCAGCTGACCCGCGCCCTGGCCCGGGTCCTGTCTGGGGAGCAGGCGGACACTGGCCTGGCCGACTACCTGCAGGCCTTCAGCTCGAGGGCCGAGCGCACAGTGGCCTTCGTCCTCACCCACCAGGAGCCCTACCTCCCCGTGCTGGTCAGCGCCCTCCAGGACCACATCTCAAGGAGCCAGCAGGCTGGGGACAGTGCCAGGCAGCAGGACACCGATGGCCAGAGGCTCCTAGCAGCCCTGGACCCCGGGGGCAGCTGGAGCAGCGCCCTGTCCCCCGAAGCTCTGCTCCACAGTGGCCGGTACAAAGACTGCCGGGCGGCGTGCAGCCGGGCCCTCTTGGCCGACCGGACCAGCCGCAGACCCCAAGGTAGGAGTGCGGGTCGCATCTCCCTGAGGGTCAGGGAGAAAGTCCTTCCAGCCATCCCTTCACAGCAGTTAATTCTTGCCTGTGGTGGGGGCCGGGGGTCGTGCTGAGACCAGGGACACCATGGGGACAAGAAGGACAAGCCCCTGTCCTGACAGAGCCCCCAAGAAAGGAAGCAGGCAAAATAAGTTCTTTGAGAAATGTAACACACAAGGTGTGGCTCTAGCCAGACAGTCAGGGAAGGCTTCTGGGAGGAGGTGTCATTTGGGCTGCAACAAGGATTCAGAAACCGAAAGTGTCAGGCGGCTGGAGGAGAAAGAGCCTGGCATGTCCATGACACTAAATGGTGGCTGTCAGGGGTGGGGGGGCAGGAGGACAGGGGGGGACCGGAGGCCCTGAAGACAGTAGCCGTGGCTGAGTCCTCCTGACCGGGAGCACCCTCCGAGTTTACCCTCAGGGGAAGGAGAGCCATGGAGGGGCGGGGGGGACGGAAACCTCAGTGGGAGGTGCTCTGAGTTCCATCTGCAGAGTCTCCGCCAGCTGCTGCGTGCGGCGTGTGCCCAGGGAGCCGGGAGAGAACCGAGCCTCCTGGGAGGCCGGGAGGTGGTCTGGGCCGGGAGGAGGGCCAGGTTGGGGACCTGGAAGCTGGGATTCCCAGAGGACCGGGCTGGAGGACTGAGGAGGGAGAGCTGGAGCCAGACTGTGGGTCTGAAGTTTCATCACTGAATCAGAAACAGCCAGATTGTGACCAGATTTAACGGTGGGTGGGGAGAGGGGTGTGGGGCAAGGCCGGGAAGGATTCTGAGGGTTCACCTTCAGCAACTAGAATGCAGAGGGCAGGAGAGTGGCAGGTGGGGAGAAGGGGGTGCCGGGGTTTACACACACCCCGTGTGAGGCACTGCTCCTGCCTGGCCCCTTTGCCGGGCCCTGGTCCTGGGGGGGGGGGGGGGGCAGGTAGCGGGGTGGGTGTCCAGAGCCCCAGCAGTCATACTCCAGCCTTCCTCCGGCACTGGGGTGGGGGGGGGGTCCCAGCTTGCAGTCTGGCCGCCTCCCCGTGGCCACGCCCACCTCTGAGCGTGGCTGGGGGAATTCCGTGAAATGTGTATCAAACTTTTGTCCACCCCGCCTGCTGGAAGATCGTCTGCTATCGACAGCAACATAGTAACTGTGGGGCCAGGAAGTTTGTGGCAACAGGTGACTCCAGCGGAAAGGAAGGGCCACCGACGTCATCCAGCCCAGGAAGGCAGCGGTGCCCAAGACAGAAACTCGGGGAAACTGGCCCAAACATGCCGGACCACCCCAGATGTCATCTCTGTGTTCGGGTTCAGAACCCCGTTTGGTGGCGGCCAGGCCACTGGCTTTGTCATGTCCTGGGACCACACAGAGGAAAATGAGCTCCCACACCAACGTGCCTCTCTCAGGGCCCCCTTCGTCCCCCGGCAGAAGAGGAGACACGAGCCCCAGTGCCTGCCTCGTGGACGTGAAGCGCCCAGGACGCTGCAAAGGCGCTGAGGGGCGCTCCTTCCGAAGGAAGCAGCGCTAGAAGCAGCCCAAGTCAGGATGAGTGGGGAACCATCCCAAAAGGAACACATTTTGGATGTTAAAAAAGAGAAAAGAAAATGTGTATCACGCCCTTGAAATGGTGGTGCCCGTGGGCGCTCCAAGGGATGTCCCTTGGGCCAGTCAGGGGCACGTGTAACTGGCCCGCTGGACACGTGGGCCTGGCAATGCGAGGACACTTGGTTTGAAGAAGGGGCTGTGGGGTCGTCCGCTCAAAGAAGAAGCTTAACGTCGGGAGTCTGGATGGACTGCATGGGGCGGCGGACACTCGGAGGTGGGGGCTTGGGTGTGAGGGGCCACCCGTCACACACGAGCGTGCAGACCCCACGCTGGGGGCTGGATATGACGTATTTTCATGGAGCCCCCTCAGCTGTCCTCGGAGTGGGCGCAGCTGTGTCCCCACGGCCCAAGGGGCTGCCAGGGCCACACAGAGTGTTCATGGTAGGCTGGAATCTGGCCCCCCGGGTGCTCCTCACCACCCATCACACTGTCCCCCAAAAAGGGGCCCTGCAAAGGGGACGGGGGACAGGAGGAGGAAACTTGGGAGCCTGCAGGGCGCTGGCGAGGGCACCTGCAAGACGCAGGGCAGAGGTGTGTGGGAGAGCCACCCCCGGGGGTCTGTGAGGACAGGACAGGGGGTGTCTGTGCCAAGAGCCTCGGAGGGGGTGCCCCAGTGGGGGAGGGAAGCGGAGAGGACAGAAAAGTGAGTGGGCGGGTTGACTTTGGAAATATGCTACACCAGACACCTCAAAATCCTCCCACTGTAAAAACGCTCAGCAGGATCACAAAGGATCCTGAGCTTATGGAGAGTAGGGGACCCGCCCTGCCCAAACAAATACATGTCATCGCTGCTGAGCAGGGGCCAGTGCCGTGGCAGGTGGGGGCACTCAGCGACTGAGAGGGGGGTCTTCCACTCTACTGACCAGTAGGGCCCTGCAGAAACCCAGAAGCCCCCAAAGAGCTGCAGCCTCAGACAAGTGTGCTAAAAAGAAAAACGGTGCCCCCGCTCCGCAGGGGAGGCTGCCAGGAAGCGTGTCTGTCCTGACCCGGCTCTGACCTGGGCAGGAGCCCTGAGGATCATTGCATCCCCTGGACCCGAGTCATCTGTGTCACAGGGAATCGCCTGTCCCCACCAGCAGCACAAGTGTGGCTTACGGTGCAAACAGAGAAGCTTCCTATCACGCACCTTTTACTAATGTAGTTTCTCATAACAAATGCTTTCGAATCTTAAGGTTACTAACCAAAAGCCCCTGCAGACATTGAACGCCCTCCCTATATTTGGAAAGCGTTCTGCCCTTCTTAGCAAGCAGACACGCGGGACAAGAGGCAGCGTCAGACACATCAGAGGACGAGACGCAGCATCAGAGGGGCTTCAGCCTGAACCTCCCGGGGCACAGGCCCCTGCGCACCGCGGCTGCCAGAGCGCTCACCCTCCCACCCACCCGGGCAGCCGTCTCCGGTGGGTTCAGCGGTCTTCGTTAAGAACTACACAGAAAGATCATCTATGTCGAAAACACCCTGGTGAGACGGCCACATGCATGCCCTTTCTCCCTTCCCCCTCTCTAAAAATAAATAAATAAAATCTTTTTTTAAAAAATAACTTTAAAAAAACTACCAAAAGCATAACACTTAATGGTGATATTTTAGATGTCTTCCATTTAAAATCAAGAATAAGGTGGCTGCCCACTGTCCCATTTATCCATCACTGTGCTGGAGATGCTAGCCAATGCAATAAGATAAGGGAGAAAAGCAGGTGGGACAGAAAAGAAGAAACAAAGTTACTATTCCACGCAACATAAGTAGCCATGTGGAAAGCCCAAAAGAAACAACAAAAAATGTATCAAATACAGAAACGGAATTTCACAGCTTATACAAAGAGCATTCACATTTATAGACAACAGCAAGAAATAGAAATTTTGTTGTTTAAACACCTACCATTTACTATAGCACTAGAGAATAACTGGTTTCAGAATTGTATGATTTTTATGAAGAAAATTATAAAACTTTATTAAAAGACAATAAAGAATCATTAAGTAAGTAGAAAGAGATTAGATGTCTATGGTCAGAAAGATTTGATAGCATAAGAGAAAAGCAAAGGACCAATAATGGACAAGATTAAGAAGAAAGAGAGGGGGAAAAGAGAGGAGGGGGATAAAGGAGGGGAGGAGGGGGAGGAGATAAAGAAGAAGGTGGTGCTGTAAGGATTTGCTCTACCGGCTGGTGCAAAACTCTACTGACCACACTTAAGGGGGAGACAGAAAGACCAACAAAACAAATTATGCCAGAAAGGAAGCCACCTGGAAGCTAATATGTGAGCGTATTATAGTGAATCACTATAGGTTCGCTGCAAATCTACAGTGGAGGAGGAGGACCTTTGTTCAATGAACGTACGTGGATACCCTGCTTCCAACCACGCAAAAACGTGACGTCCACAGGGACTGGGTCAACAGCTAAGGTTTATAGGAATGAAAACTATGAGCATATATCCACAAGACCTCTGTGAACGGCTGGGCTTCTTAAGGTACAAAAAAGCAGAAAGAATAAAGGAAAATTTGATACATTTGATGAAATTAAAAATCTTAACCTTCTGTTTTGCCCATAACTGTAGAAAATGAAAGGACAAGCCACAACAAAGAAAGAATATTTGCAAAATATACAATGGGCAAAAAATTAATAACCAGAGCATTTGAAGAATTCCTACATGTCAACAAGGAACGAATCAACCTTGGTGCGAGAATTGGCAAACGGGTCTCCCCACAGAGAACACACAGATGGCTAACGAACTTGTGGGAAATGTCCAGCATCCCGGTAACGACGCAAATGCAAATTAAAGCAAGATGCCCCGTGCTACCCACCAGATTGGGAGGGGGAGCACTCTGAAATAAATGAGCCTCGCCGGTAATCAGGAAAATGAAAATTAAGCCAACACAAGCAGAGCATCTTATGTCCCCCCAGACGGCCGACATTTTTAAGTCTGACGATGGAAGAGGCTGGCCTCCAGCGGAGCAGAGCAGCTGAACTAGACGAGGTGACCGCAGACGATGGTGACGAGGTTGGGACAGAACATAAAAGGCAGCTGTGTGCAGGCACAGGCCAGCGGACAAACGCAGCCGGAAACCAGGCCTTGGCCCTTGAAATACGGGGGCTATGGAGGTGAGGTCTGCACGCTTGCAGCTTTTTCCCGAGGGAACCCTTCAGCCCAGGGTCCATGTGTGTGAAGCAGGACGCGGCAGCTTCCCTGGCGTGCGCTGTCCCGGGTCAGGGTGTCCCGGGTCAGGCTGTCCCAGCCTGGGAGAAAGTGGCTGGAACGTTAGAAGAGAGTCCTGAAGAGGAGGAAGCCACCGTCGGGTCGAGACCCCAAGTCTGTGTGCTGAATCCGCCGCCATCCTCAGCTGACCAGGGGCCTCACAGACCAGGGAGAGACTGGGTGGCCAAAAAAGCAGAAGCTGGAAACTGCAAGCATTTCACAGACATTCCAGCTGCCAGTTTGATCCTGTCCAATTCAACTGCTAAAACAAAACTCTGTTCTCTTCAGAGGCACATGACTGGATCCAGGCTCCACAGAGCATCAACCGGGCATCCAGCGCACAATTTAAGATTTTATTTATTTATCTTTAGAGGGGAAGGGAAGGAGAAAGGGAGAGAAATATCAATGTGTGGTTGCCTCTTGTGCGTCCCATGCTAGGAACTGGTCTGCAACCCAGGCACGTGCCCTGACTGGGAATCGAACCACGGTTGTTTGGTTCGCAGGCCCGCGCTCAATCCACTGAGCTACACCAGCCAGGGCCAGTGCACAGTTTTTAAAAGTGCCAGAAAGGCAAAGAAGCAGGAAAATAAACTGTGGGCCACAGTCAGGAGACCGACCTGGAGATGATCCAGGTGCTGAAATCAGTGTACTGAGGACTGTAGAGAAACTATGGGTGGTGCACTCGAGGCCTAAAGGAAAGTGTGGTCATAATGAATGAACAGATGGGGAATTGCAGCAAGTACACGGAAACTCCAGAGTTGAAAAGCACAATAGCAAATGAGACACCCCGTAGCCTGTTGGGGACGGCAGAAGGGTCGCCGAGCTTACCCGAGAGTGCGGACAGAAGAGTGTGGGGGGCCCGGGGACCACGCGTACAAGTCCTGTGGGTGCGGCTGCAGATGCAGGGCCAGAGAGCACACTGCCTGCCGCGGGGTGGGGGGAGAAATAACCGCTCCACAGGCCCCCCTAGAGTTATTTTGTCGGGGATTGGTCACGACGGAAAAGTCTCGGGTTGTTTCGTTGTTATTTCTCGTTTTGTTTTTGTCGTTTTGCCTTTACTTGGGCCACCAGGATTAGACAGAGTGAGCTGCCGTTGGCCGCTTCACCGTTGGCTGATCACAGGGCACAAGGTGCTTTTCTGCACTTGGCTCTGGGCTGTGAGGAGACGCTTCCCCACGGTGACAACAGAGCAGGGCGGTGACAGAGTGGCTTCAGTGCCTGCTCCTGTTTTCCCGGTAAAGGACAGTTATTACCGTAAAGGAAACACTCTGAGGACTCTGAACGACTCTGTGCAAAACGCACTCCCGTGGGGGTTCAGAGGCCTGGGGAGGGCATCCCGGCCCTGCCACCCCTTCCTAACCTGGAACAGGTAACGGGGTGCCCGTGACCTCGAGCTCCCGCCAGCACTGAGGTTTCTGGGATCCTCTCAGGGCCACGCACCTGCCCCGGCGCTGCGGCCGCTGCGGAGGAGCTGCCTGGCTCTCTGTACTGACTGCAGGCTCGCTGAGTAACGCTGCCCCTCCCGCCCTGTCCGGGGCTCTCGGCCGTCATTCCGGTTTATTCTCGCAGCCCTGTGATTGTGGCCCTCGTCACCCCATTCTAAAGCAGAAGAGGAAACTGAAGCACAGGAGGTGGCCCGGGGAGGCCTCTTCACCAACAGCCCCCCTGCGCAGGTCAGGGAGTCGGGCCTCGCTCTGGCCTGGAGCTGGTCTGGGGAGGGGAACTCAACCCTCAGACTGATGACTAAAAGGCCAGGGCTGGGGGCTGGGGAGGGAGGTGTTGTCATTAAATCTCCATGTTGGCAGAGCAGAGGAGAGGCTGACTCTGAACCCAAACTCAGAGGGCAGGGCTGTGGAGGCCCCTAGGGCAGTTGCCCCCCACCCCACCCCACCCATTCCGATGCTGCTCCAGCCCCAACAAGCTTCCGGCCTCCTGCCCGCGCTCCTCCTGCGGGCGTGACGCCCTGGGAGGTGCTACCCGAAGCGCTGGACGGTTGGTGCGCTACAGCGGGCACCCCGGTAGCTCCGGGCCCCACTGGTTCTCTGTTCTCTACTCCAGGTGAGCGCCTGGCTGCCTTGCTGGTCACCCGCGCGGCCGCAGCCTTCTTCCTGGACAGCGGGGCCCAGGACCTGCTTCGGGACCTGCACGAGGCCTTCCGCGAGAGCCCCTCGGGGGCGCGGAGGCAGTTCGAGGCCGTGCTCTCGGCAGAGGACCGGGAGCGAGTGCGGATCCAGGCTCAGGAAGTGGCGGACGTGGGTTTTGCCCACTTCCAAGAGGCCGTGCGGAGCCGCCCCGAGCTCCGCAAGGACTCGGACCGCGAGCTGCTGGCCCCGGTGACCCGCGCTCTCCGTGTCCTGCTGCGCGTGGCGCCGCCCGGCACGCGCCCAGCACTGGGAGCCCGCCTCGCCGAGTGCCTGCTGCTGGCCGGGGATGCGGCGGGCGCCCGGGCGCTGTGCGAGCGCCTGCTGCGGCCCGCACGCCCCAGAGATCAAGCTGGAGAACGCGCCTTTGACCGTGCGCCTCTGCTGGCGCTTCGAGGCTTCTGCGCGCTGCACACCGGCGACGCGCGAGGTGCCCGGGAGGATTTCCAGGAGGTTGTGGAGCAGGGGCGGCCGCACCCGGCTGGCTGTGTGCGTGCGCTGTGCGGCCGCGGGCTGCTGCGCGTGCTGTCGGGCAGCGCGTTCCTGGGCGCGCTGGACTATGTCACCGCCTGCCGCCTGCGGCCGGACGAGGCTCTGCTCGTCGCCAAGGCCTACGTGCCCTGGAACCAGCGGGGGCTGCTGCTGACCGTGCTGCGCGAGGAGGGCCGCAGGATGCTGCAGCGGAGGCCGGACCCGGGACCCACGGGCGCGCGGGGCCGCCGGAGGCAGGCCGCGGAGGTGGACAGCCGGGCGGCGCCAGAAGGGTAAACACCAGCCCCGCGTGCGCTCTCCTGGGCTGCTTCATTCCGGGCTCCTGCGAGGCAGCCAGGTGTGTGTCTTCGGTCTTGCGGGCGGGTCGGCCGAGGCAGGGAGCAGCTGGGTGATGTCTCTGAGTCATCGGTGGCAGATTTAGGGCCCGGGCCGAGATCCCAGTCCTTAACCGTGATGCATTAAGAACTGATTTATAGAAAATTAGAAACTCAAGCACGGAAATGGAAACGTAAAAGTGACCCATCGCCCACAGTTAGGCACCCGAAAGTGGGTCCTCTGTGTGCATGGAAACCTGGTTGGCCAGAGGACCTGTGCGGTGCCCGCGGTTTGGACCACTGGGCTTTTCACTCGGTGGATCTCAAACGTGTCCTGTGCCGCCAGCCCCGGGCCCTTCGTCAGGGACCACACCCTGGTCCCGCAGCTCCACTCTTAGCTGTCACGCCCCCTAGTGCTGTCCTGTCACCCCAGTTCTGGCCTTACCCCCGAGGCCGAGGGGGAACCTGGGTCGGGGAATGTGGCCTCGAAGGCCCCAGACTTCGAGAGCTGCCCACCTGCCTGCCTGCCTGGGCCCACACCCAGCCCGGGGTTTCCTTTGCAAACTTTCGCCAGCCCTGGCTCCGCAGCTGTTCTGAGCTACAAGCACCGAGCTGGGGCCTCCTGGGGCTGTGTTTGACGTCACCACACACCCGTGCACACATGTGCACACACTCACTTGCACACACACATCCACTGCCCCCTGGCTGTTTGATTTGCATCGCTTTTATTTGCTGGTGAAGAGGAGTCTTCTCGTGGGTGCCCCCTTTATATTTGTTCTCTCTGGGGGGTTTCTCATTCCAGGCTCCCCACCCCTTCTCCCCGGGGCAGTTCATCTCAGTTTCTGGGGGCACTGGGAGGGTACCCCGGTTCGCTCCCTAGCTCTGCCTAACACGAGCCCCTGAGTCTGCTGGTGCAGACCTTGTTGCCTTGTTTTTGCTGAAGAGGAGAGTCAGGCAGGGTCCACTGAGGTCCGTCCTGCCCTGCCCAAGATGCCTGCCCCACCGGGCAGTGGGTGGATGAGGGAGGGCGGAGGGTCTTCCAACAGCTCCCTGGCCCCCGCATCTCTGCGGAGAGGCAGCAGCCTGGCCCAGGCACATAGGCCAGAACCGGCCTGTTGCCGGCACGAGGGGGTGGGGAGCGGCGGGAAGGACGGAGGGAAGGGGCCTGCGCTCTGTGCTTCTCTCTGGCCAGGAACACCCAGGGCGTGTACCAGCTGGCCATGCTCCTGATGGAACTGGATGCCGAGGACGAGGCTTCGCGCCTCCTGGCCGCCGACGCCCTGTACCGCCTGGGCCGCCTGGGCGACGCCCACAAGGCACTGCTGGTGGCCCTCCCCCGAAGGCCCCAGGCGGCCCCTGTGCTGGCGCGGCTGGCCCTGCTGCAGCTGCGGAGGGGTTTCTTCTACGACGCCGACCAGGTGAGGTCGGGGGCCCCTGGCTCTGCACCCCGCGACCCAGACTTCGAAGCAGGCAAAGCTCGTCCCAGCCCTGGGCTCCGCACCTGTGTCCGGGTCTTGCGGGTCATCGTAGGAATTAGCTGCAGTAGGTGTCCCCGACTCTAGCACGCAGTAGATGTCCCATATTTGCTTTTGTTGTGTTGTGAAGGAGAAGGGCCAAGAGTCCAATGCAGGCCGAGCTTCGCCCCAAAAATCCCATGTAAACTCGTAACTCGGCTTTGAGGTGACCCTGCCCTGGGACAACGGGTGGGGAGACAGTGTAGGGGCCCCAGGCCCTCAGGTCCTGCTTGTCTCCCCCTGAGAGTGCTCTGCTCTCAGGAAGAGCAGAACTCCGCCTCCTTTGGGTGTGGTGATGGCTTCCTGCTAGAATGTGGGCAGGTTACAGTCCAGGGGAGGATGCGGGGCTTTGGGGCACAGGCTGTGTGGCCCGTCAGCATCCTCCTTCCCCTCCGACCTTGCGTGTCTGGTCTCCCCGCCCGGGGCGACACACATGAGAAGGAAGGATGCTTTTGGACCCGTGTCCCCAGCGAGCAGCCAGCAGGAGCACCATCAGATCTCTTCGGAGTGAAGCTGCTCTGAGCTCCGAGGTCATGCTCAGTGTCTTGCTCCCAGAACAGGCATTGATTGGTCCCAGGACTTTTGCTCCTGTCTCCCATGTACAGAGGAGGGAGCGCGGGCCAGGAACACTGGGACACCCCAAACCCCCCCGCAACAGAAGCCCTAAAGGATGATCACACCTCCGGGCCCCCAGCCTTCCCTGGAGACCCGCACACCTCTCCCTGCCCTGAGCCACACCCCATAGCCACATCCTCTTCAAACCACGCCCCCTCGTTGGCCACGCCCCCGCAAGCCTGGTCAGGAACACGGGGTGGAAAGGACTGGGGCACAAGGCGGAACTGCGCTGACTGTCCTGACTCCTGCAGCTGGTGAAGAAGGTCGTCCAGTCCGGGGACACGACTTGTCTCCAGCCCACCCTGGATGTCTTCTGCGAAGAGGACCGGCAGCTGCTACAGGGCCACTGCCACTCCCGGGCCCTGGCCATCCTGCGGACGCAGCCAGGAGGGGCAGAGAGCGAGGCTCACACCAGGGAGGCCATCGCCTACCTCTCTCTGGCCATCTTTGCTGCAGGTGGGAGTGCCTGCCCGCCCACAGGTCCCCCGTCCTGCGCCAGGTGCACAGGGGCATCGGGAGCCTCTGCCGAGCCAGGGGTGGGGGCCAAGGGTTTCCAAGGCCGCCTTCAGTTCAGGAGTTCCAGAGTCATGCACCCTGGGAAGGCGTTTTGCACTGAGGCCCTGGCTAAAGCCCAGGAGAGGAGCCGGACCCGGAGGAGCCTGAGGGGGGCCCTCACCACACCCTGAGCCCTGCGGGCAGGAGGGCCCGCTGAGGCTCCTCTTCCAGCTCTGCTCATCTCCCTCCAGCCTGGGAGGTCAGAGCTCAGCTTCCGCAAGCCCTCTCTGGGAGCAGTGGGCACACATCTGCATGTGGGCGCCCAGCCCCCCCACTCCCCCAGGCAACCCACGGGCCTCACCGGGCAGGGTTCCGGACAGAGGCCGGCAGGATGACGAGGGAAGGTTCATTGCCAAGGAGGCGCAGTGAGCTCTAGGGGTGCTCAGGATTCAGCAGACTTGGGATCAGAATGCCAGTGGATTTCTGGCTCTGCACGTATGGGGCGCCTCCCCCCAAGGGGGACAATGGGGACACCCGAGTGGGTTGGGAGTGAGGGTTAGGTGCACTGATTCCTGGACAGCCAGGGACGGTGCCCGGTGTGAGTTCGCACCCCACACAGCTGGGAAGGGGACACACCCCGAGCGCCCTGCAGAGCCCGGAGCAGTGCTTCCTGTGCCTGTCGCTGGACACACACTCAGAAGAAGCGCTGTGGGGATGGCCTCTGTGGGGAGGGCTCCTCCCGCCCTCCTGGCACCTTCACACTTGTGGCCGCTCATGCCCACCCCTGAGGTCCCTTTCTCCTCTCGGCCCCGCCCCTCAGATGCAGGGGACACACCTCTTCTCTTGGAAGCCCCTTCTGCTGCTCGCCGGCCCTCCCAGGTGCCACCACTGCTCGCTGTCCTGGTGCCCAGGGGTCTGTGAGCTCCCCGGGGGGCCCGCAGCTGGCACACCCTCTGGGTTTCTCCCCTCCACTGGGCGCCAGGAGGCACCGTAAGTGCCGGATGAAGACAGACTCACTGTGCCCACCTGTGGTCAGTGAATGGCCCTGACCCACCCTTTCCTCCCAGGGGGTCAGGCGAGTGAGTCCCTGCTCATCCGTGCTCGGTGTTACGGGTTCCTGGGCCAGAGGAAGACGGCCATGTTCGACTTCAACTCCGTGCTGCGGGCCGAGCCTGGGAACGTGCAGGCGTTGTGCGGCCGGGCGCTCCTGCACCTGGCCCTGGGCCAGCGGCAGGTACCGGGGCCGGTAGAGTGGAGGGTGGTCTGGGGGAGGTGCTGCCTTCCTTCCCAACCCCCTACAAGAGAGGGAGCAGGGGGTCAGGCCATCCTAACGGTGAGACACCCATCAAAGCCCCAGCTGCCGGGGGGGGGGGGGCAGGGCTCACGGAGTCCCAGGCTCTAGGCCCCAGTTTCGATTCCTTCCCTGTCACCTGATAAGCCCTGTGCCTCCCAGCCCCAGTTGGCACCGGGACATGTGCCAACCCTCAGGGCTAGCACCTGGCCCTTAGCTTAAAATAATGAGACCTTGGGGGCCACCCTGCCCTGTCTACACAGAGCCTGTGGGTCTGGATCATCAGCGGGCAGGGGCAGGGGCCGGGCAGGAGGGGTTGGGGGGTCAGGCTGGGGGCAGGTGTTTATCACAGAGAAGACACACCCGCAGGCAGCTGGAGCACAGCCACAAGGCACTCCTCAGCCAAGAGCAAGGTCGCTGGCGAGTGACTGCACTTGGCTGTCTGCCCGCAGCTCCGCTGGGCGAGGAGCAGCGCGGAGGCAGCTCGCCTGCCAGGCTCCTTCGCTTGCCGCGGGGCTGCAGCCCTGGGCACCTCGGCGGCTCTTGCTTCTGCCCATCGGGTGTCTGCTTCCCCCAAGGGTGCTGGCAGCCTGAGCACACCTGTGGTTGGAACCCAGCCCCTGGGCGCCCCTGCCTGCGCCCGGCAGGCAACACGGTCTGCAGAGACAAGCCCATTAAGCCGAAATGGGATCCGCCAGGAGCACCTCCTTTTGGTTGACACCCCCACCCCAGTTGCGAGAGAGAAGGGACTGGACTGCCTACCCCTCCCGGTGTCCCCTGGGAGGACAAACACTCTGCTGGGACCCCTTCTGCCACCCACCCTCACTCTGCCCTTGCAGGAGGCCGTGGACGACACCCTCTTGGCCCTGCAGCTGGACGCACACACAGCGGTCCCTGAGATCCGCTCACTGAAGCCAGAGGCCCAAGCCCTCCTCACGCAGGGCCTGTCCTCCCGCTGCCGGGACCTGCTGAACCAACAACTAGACACCAGGGCCCCCATCAGTGACAGCGACGCCCAGGGCCTCCTCGCCGCAGGGGAGGCCCTGGTCAGAATCGAGGCGGGGCGGCTGAGTGGGCACCTCCTCCTGGTGGACGTGCTCGCCACAGTGGGTGCGCAGCAGCCCGGCATGGGCACTGGTGTCCATCCCAGCCCCTCTCGCCCCGGGGTCTATTCTGTAAGGCAGGAGAGAGATCCAAGACTCGGCGGCCTCCGGGTCCCTTCCCCTGAATCCCAGTTCCTGGGGCCCAGTCCCCCTGTGGGCCTGGTGTGTACGGCAAGTCTTTAGCTCCCAGGCACCCATGTGGCTTTGCCTGCAGGGAGGAGAAGCGGGGCTTCCCGCAGCACTCGGGCCTCCTCAATAATCCGAGAGGACCGAGTGCCCCCCGTGCCCAGGCCCGGAGCTGGTGGGGCTACCTTACGCCCAAACGCCAGCCCTTCCTCAAACAGTCTGAACATGCCTCAGCACTTACTTGAAAGAAGAGGTCTCTGTGCGGCCTGCCCCCCACTTGCCCTCCTCACCTGAGAGGTGCCCTGACCCAGGCCTCCAGGGAGCCTAGGGGTGGCTCCTGCCCCCTGCTGTCCTGCTCCTGAGGCTGCCCAGGCAAGAGCAGAGCCGTGTGACAACCATGGTGAGGTGCTGCTCAGCCTGGGGGTCACACTCTGGTGACACCCCCCACCCGGAGGCGGGGCTGCTAGTACCAGGCAAGTCCATGTGACCAGTGTGGTGTCCCCAGGTCCCTCTGCTCCCGGCTTTCCTCCCGGCGCTGAGCCCCTCTGTCGGCCTGCTGCTCCCAGAGCCAGCACGGAGCAAGACAGGCTGTGTCAGACTCCCCGGTGCCGTGGCCAGTGAGTCCCACCTCTTCGTGCCCCCGCTGCAAAGCCACACTGACCGCCCTTCCTGGATCCCCAACAGGCAGCTACGAGGAGGCTGGTGCCCGCCTACAAAAAGCCCTGCACCCCACCCCACCATCAGAGGCGGCCCAGGCCCGGCGAGGGCTGCTCCGGCTCAAGCAGGGAGACGTGCCAGCTGCTTCCCGGGACCTGCAGTGCCTGGCGGAGACGGACGCTGGGGACCTCGGCTTCCTGCTGCGTCTCCTGGAGGCCTCGGAGAGGCAGAGCCTGGCCCAGGTGCCTGTGCACTCACTCCGCGGAGCCCCACGTCAGCCCTCCCCGGCACCCAGGGGCTCCGGTTGCTTTGCATCCCCTGGGTGCTGGTTCCAGGTGGCAGTGGGATGGGTGGGCGTGTGAGCAGGAGGCACCCAGCTCGCCCTCTAGAGCCCTGACCACGCCCACAATTTTCGGGCTTCTCTGCACCAGGAGCAAGTGGCTTGAGTGGGGGAGAGGGAGGGGACGCCCTCCTCAGAGCCAGGCGGAACCAGCCAGGAGCACCTTGCTCTCGCAGGAAGTCCACCTCACCCCCAGGTCAGGCCAGGAGAGATGGGTCCCTTGCAGTGAGAGGGCAGGTCGGGAGCCGAGAGGGACCTGTGAAGGGATGTCCCTCTCGGGGCACCACCTCTTTGGCTAGCTGACGTTTTCATTGCACTCTTGACCCGGCAAGAACGCCAGAGCACCTTCCACCAGGTGCTGGGTAGAGCCACAACCCCGCCCTGTGGCCCTCAAATGTCAGGGGAGACAGCGGGGGTTCACTTCAGAGAGTGTCCATGTTGCAGAGACCCTAGGACAGGGCAGTAGCGCACTGAGGGCGGGCACACTGGAGGTGAAGCTGGGGTGGGGAGAGACAGGCCCAGGCGCGGCCTGGACTGAGGGCAGAGCTCAGGGTGCAGCTGACAGGGCGTGGAGGGGGCGGGGGCTGGGGTGGGAGAGACTCTGGGCCTAAGTTCTCCTGGAGCTTATCTCGCAGGAGCTAGCGGGCCGGGGCGGAGGGCACCGTGTCCTGGTCCTGTCTGACCACCTCGGCCCCTCCGCTGGCCCGAGGCGCAGGGTGGGCACCAAACTTGCTTTGCGCGGAGGGAGGGAGGCCAAGAACATAGCAGGCTTTGGGGTCGGAGGACGTGGGTTTCGCGCCCGTGTGGCCTGGAGTGTCCAGGGCTCTCGTGGACCCCAGCATTCAGGGTCTGCCGGGAAGACACAGCTCTCGGTGTTTCAACGGGGAGTTGGTTTAACAGAGTTGGCTACACGCGAAGGGCAATGCGTCCTGCGGGGGGAGGCTGCCACCGGGGGCCGAGGGAGCCAGAGTGAGACAGTGTCATCGGGACCAAGAACGCAGACGGGGACGCCTCGGCGCACAGAGGGGGCTGCGCAGGGCGGACTGGAGCCGGGCTCCCGCTGCTGGGGGTAGGGGAAGAGGCATCCGCGGGTCGCCCAATGGCGCACGCCATCCCCCCCCCATCCGAAAAGAAGCCGGAAGTGGTCGCGCCCCGCTTCCGGCGGCGGCCTTGCGCCTGCGCGTAGCCGGTGGTACCGCCCCTAGGCCGGGAGCGCGCGGAGCCCGTCGGGAGGGCGCCAGGCCCGCGCGAGGCTTTCCCCAGAGAGGCGGAGACGCTGGGCGGTGTCGCGCGGCTCAGGCGCGAGCTAGGCGCTCACCGTCTGGTGGGCAGGCAGAACCGCAGCGTCCGGGAAGGAACCCTAACAGCGACGCCACGGATACTGGTCCCGGCCAGGCCTCCCTCCCCCAGCCAGACGCGCACGTCTGCGTCCCAGCCTGGCGTTTGTGCTCCCAGACAGCGTCCCTGCTGTGTATCGCGGCGCCCCGTGCCTTCCCCTGGGGGCAGGGAGAAAAGGGCGGGCGGGGCAGCGGCTCAGGCAGGGTCTTGATGTGCCTTATTCTTCGGTGGGAGCCACGGGGGCAGAGAGGAGCCATGTGAGGCCACGGGCGGAGGGAGAGGTTCGGAGGGTGGGCTGCAGCCATGCTCAGGAAAGGATCTCTGGAGAGCAGACATCCAACGAGGCCCAGGGGCTCGCTCTGGCAGGCGCTAGGGAAAAGTGCGGCAGTGGCCTGTCCCCAACTGTGGCCGGCTCCGCAGGACCATAGGGAGAAGCCCACTCGTGCTTCCTGACCTTGGGCCGTGGGATTCAAGGACAGGGCTGGACAGAGGCAGTGTCTGCCTCTGTCCCCAGGGCCAGCTGGGCAGCCTCGAGAGGGCAGGTAGGGTGGGAGGTCCATTATTAGATGGGCCTGTGGGGCAGGTGACTTTGGAGAGGAGCCGAGGGAAGAGTTCCCCGGGTTAGAACCGCAGTGGGTCAGGGAGGAGAGGGGCGTGAGGAGGACCCCGAGCGGCCTGCAGAATTTCCAGGCCAGTGGGACTGCAGTCCGGGTACACCAGGTCCGCAACTTCCACCGCGGCTTGGTGTGAAGCGTGCGCCTGGTAGGGTGGCAGTGGGAAGGCAGGCCGGGGACGGGCTCAGAGCTGGCAGGGCGGAAGTCCCCCAGCCCAGGGCATTCGGGCAGCTCCTCTGCGGCAGTGGGCTGTGCAGGGCCAGTGAGCAGCTGTGACATTCTGGGCTGACCTCTGCTCCCTTCCTCTGTTCCCTCTGCAGGCCGCAGTCCAGGAAGCCCGCAGCCTCCTGACCGCAGGGCAGCCCAGGCAGGCCCTGGGCTACTGCTCGCTGGCCGTCCTGGCCGGTGGTGGCAGTGCCTGCCACCTGCGCCTGCGGGCCACCTGCCTGGCGGAGCTGCAGGAGTTCAACCGGGCACTCAGAGACCTGGACCTTGTGCTCCAGGAAGATGCGGGCGGTGGTGACCTCTCAGTGAGGGCAGAGGACTTGTGCTGCAGGGGCCGCCTGCTCCTAAGCCTGGGGGACGAGGCTGGGGCCACTGGGGCCTTCACCCAGGCCCTCAGGCTGGCACCCGCCCCAGCCCAAAGCAGCCTGTGGGCGCAACCAGGCCGGGCCCCCGTCGCCCAGGCATTGCTGCACCAGGGGCAGCGCTGCCTGCAGGGCCAGCTGTATGCAGAGGCCTGGGCAGCGGCTGAGAGTGGTCTGCTGCTCGACCCCCAGCACAGCGGCCTGAAGAGGCTGAGGGCGAGGATCCGCAGGGAGGCAGCCTCCGGCTGCCGGCTCCACTGACCCCGCGCTCCCCAAGCCCAGTCACAGGTCCCCCTTGTCACTTTTCCCCCAAACCAGGGGGGGGGGTCACGCCTCCCTCCCTCCAAGGCCTGGTGGGTGGCTCCTCAGTGGACAGCCAGCCCTGGGAAGCAGAGTGAAGGGAGACCCAGGGCCCCTTGCTGCAGCGGTGTCCGTGGTCCTGGCCTGGGGCCAGCAGGTTGGACACGGACTAAGGTCAGCCCCAGGTGGCCCTGGGGAGAGGGGGGATGAAGCTGCCTTTGATCTTGGCCTAAGCCTCAGACAGGTCCCCCAAGCACAGAACTCCCCAGCTGGGCCCTGCTGGCTGAGACCCCTGCTTTGATGAAGCCGTTCTCCTGGGGAGCCCAGGGCCCAAACCCACCACTGCAGCCATGGGGACAATGTGGGCCCGCCCCCTGCCAAGCAGAGAGAGAGTGAGCCCACCCCATTAAGGAACAGAGAGGCAGAAGGTGGGGATCTGCAGGGAGAGGCTGGGCTTCTCTTTGGCTCTTCTGGCAAAGCGGTGGGGGTGTACAGGGTGCATCCCCTGTGGATTAAACTTGCCCTCAATTTGCTTGGAAAACCTTCTTGGGCTGGGGGTGAGGAGTGCAGTCCTGCCTGTGGCCACGGGTTTGCCTCACAGAGGCCAGGGCCAGATCACAGGATTTTCTCTCAGATTCGTGAACGAGCCGTGCTAGACAGGCCACTGAAAACCTGGACCTGGGACCTTTTCTGCAGTGGCTCGTATGGACGAGGCAACTTGAAGGCCGTGAGGCAGGGGCTGGCCCAGAGGTCATGGTCAGAGGAGAAGGCCCAGCCCCCAAGCTTCAGGAAGAGAGAGCTAGTCCGGCGGCATCATCACCTGCGTGCATTTGCACCTGCTGTGCCCCGTCAGGGCGTCCTGACCCCACCTCTCCACCCAGGGCCATGTCAGAGCTGCCCTGCCAATGCCCCATCAGGGGTACCTCCTGACAAGCTGCTGCTCACCCATCACTTCTCTCTTACACCTGTGTCACCATTCTCCGTCAGCCTGGGCCTGTCCTGGCCTTGCCACCTGCCCTGAAAGCAGGAGGCCAGGCCTGAGGGCCAAGGACAGGCCTCACTTTCCTGTGCCCCTTCCCTGCTGGGAGGGTTCCAAGACCACCCTGCAGTGACCCCCCACACCCCACCGCCATCATGGCCTGCAGGGGTCTCCCCAGGGCTGCCCTGGCCCAGAGTCCCAGGACCTGGTGCTCTGCGGACACACCCGTGCTCCTGGGCAGCCACCAGCTCCTCCCTGACCACCTGGAGGCTGGCACAACCCAGGTCTGAAGGTGTCTTGGTGAGGGCAGCCCTCCTCTCAAAGCCTGGCGACCTGACCTCACCTCTGTCCCCACTGCTGGGGACCAGACTGCTCCCAGGTGCCCACTCCCCCCAGCCTGGAGCAGGCAGCCCAAAGCCGAGAGGATGGTGCCGACTGCTTACCAACAAGCGTGCCAACTCAGTGGCGCTGTGTGACGTTCCCAAAAGGCTTTCACTCATTTCCTGCTTTCTTCTCCTCCCTAAAGACCCTCCAAAGTAGCTTCATCCCACTTGAAAGGGGGGCTGGAAAGGTCCAGCAATTAGCACACGGTCACAGTCAACTCGGGGGGTGACTGGGAGCCACACCCCGGCTTGGGGCAGGGTCAACAGAAGACAGCCTGGGGACCCTGCAGAGAGGCCCACCAGGCTCCCTGAGCAAGGCCTGTCCTGCCTCGGGGCACTCGCCCACCCACTGCAGGTAGAGGCCGCGCTGGCCCTTACCCCAGCCCCCCGCCCGGCACTCGAGTCGGGCAGAAGGCTGGGGCGGGTCTGAAGGCTGTATCACCGGACCTCCAGGCAGCCAGGCATTTCTTCCACCCCCTGAACATGAAACAGCTCTTGGATTCGAGGGGAGTCCAGCCTCGAACTGCGGTTTTGGAAACAGTAGTGACACAACCAGTCTGGGGGCAGGACGCCCAGGGTACAGCCTCGGCCCAGGCCCAGGCTCCAGCCAAGAAGGCGAGGGATGCAGCAGCCCAGACCGGCACCAGTGACGTGCGCACCCCGTTGGAGAAGTAAGGAGAAGACAGAACGGAGGAAATCCGAAGGCAGGAATTCGTCAGAGTGACAGCAGAAGTTAGCAAATGGGAATAGGAAAGTGGAGGAACTAACAAATAAATCCAACGTGTGGTCGTTCAAAAGTGCCGTGAAATGGGTGAGTCCATGGCAGGCAGAAGCACCCCGACCTCTGTGGCTCGGCTGGTCGGGTGACAGCCCACAAAGCAAAGCGTCACTGGTTCAGTTCCCGGTCAGGACACGTGCCTAGGTTGTGGGCCAGGACTCTGGTCAGGGAGCATGTGAGAGGCAGCTGATCCAGGTTTCTCTCCCTCCCTCTTCTCCAAAAGTAAATTTTTAAGGCAGAAAAAAGCACAAAGACACTGTTGTGAGATCCTGACCCGTTGACAGGGACGCTCCCTTCCAGGAAGGCCCGAGGCACTCTTCTGGGCCTGCGCACCTGCCGAGGACCGCAGACACGTCCCCGTGTGGGGCCAGCGGCACCGCTGGGCTGGTCCTTGAGGTTTATTGTGACACAGGAGGCAGTCCAGCAGGAGCCATCAGGGAGCTTGGGGGACAGGGCTGGTCGCTCACAGTCCTGGCGGGTGCGTGGCCCAGCTGGGGTCACACGGGAGGTGGAGGGGGGAGAGAGGCCATGGGCCTGGGGCTCTGCCTCACTGGGGTGGAGGGCGGTGTCTGGGCTGTGTTGGGGGCCCTCCGCACGGGCTCATTTGGCACATATGGGGAGGAATTCAGTCTCGGGAGACAGGCGGCAGCGTGCCCTACGCAGGCGGTCGTGTGGCCCCCAGTTTTCAGAGGAGAACTTCAAGGTGGGGGGGGGCGGCCTCACTCCTTGTCTGGAGGCTTTGCCGTTGGCTGTGGCACTCAGCGGGCCAAGTGTTCGAGGTGAACGTGTTTTGAAGTGGCAATTTCAAACAGACAAAACCGTAGAAAGTGGTGAGGACGAAGTGACAGGAAGTGAAAGGAGCAGCACCCAAAGGCTCGGATGAAATGGATTCCTTCTCCGGGAATATCGGGTAACAACTGACCCCAGAAGAGACCAAAGTCGCCGTGGCGGGAAGCGGCGGGGGAGCGAGCCCAGTAAGGCCCGTCCTGCGCCAGCGGGGAAACACGCCAGCCCCTGAAGTGCAGTCCGTCCCAGGCCTCCGACTCCTTCAGAGCCGAGAAGAAAGGCTTGCAGGTTGTTTCAGAGGAAGCGTGGCCTCAGCCGAGTGCGAGTCCTGACCGGTTCGTGTAGAAGGTTTGGGCTCTAAAACCCTGAACGAAAGTCCCGCAAACCCGAGTCCGATGGCAGCACAGAAGGAGGACACGCCCCGAACGCAGGGCTGGTTCTCGCAGGAGCCGCTGTGGCCGGGCTTGGCAGCCGAGGCGGACAGAGCAAGTGCTGTGATTCTCGGGTGGGGCACAGCCACCCTGGGTGCCCTGGTCAGTCACATAATAAACCTGTTCCGACGCGCCGTCTCCCTGCACCTCTGGACCCTCCTCCTGTGGTCACACTGGGCGAGCCCAGCGCCTCCGCCTCGTCTCCTGTGGACCGTCAAGGCCTGGGCCGTCCACCAGGTGAACCGTCAGAGTCACTCTCAGCAGCTGACGCCGGACACCGGACTTGCAGCATCCCGGGACGTGTGCCCGGGTTAGCAGAGCTGAGCCTGCGTGGAAGTGACACCCTTAGACTCTGTTCCCACACGGAACCCCCAGGTTTCTCGGTGCAGCCTGGGAAATGCTGCCGTTATCGGGGTGCCTATGCCATTTCCTCCTGAGTCAGCGTTTGCACTTGACCCCCTGGCCCCACAGGCTGGGATCCGACCCTGCCGGCTGTGGACAGGGTGGGAGGAAGGCTGACTAAGGTAAGCGCCCTCTCCCGAGGCCCCCGGCCCCCTGCATCTCCTCACAGCGTTTGTGCCAGGGGCCTGAGCCCCCCACACTGCCTCCCGCCAGCCTGGGTTCAACCCAAGAGGCCACCAGCATGCGGACTACAGGCTTCCGACAAAGACCCAACACGGGCCTTCGGGTGAGGACCCCGGATCTGGGGCCTGGGCCCACCCAGGACCCTCAGCGAGCCCCAGGGGCCTGGGGGACCACTCATCCCGTGGGGTTCTGAAACAGAAGCAGAAGCGCGCCGGCAGCCCAGTCGGGCATGAAGAAGGGAAATTCCAGCTCTGACTGAACCCGCTGTGCCCAGGGCCCCTGGCCCCTATCGGCGGGGCTGGGGCAGCTGAGTCTCACCCCGAAGCCCTGGGTGCCCAGGGCACCCACCAAGCCCAAGCCCCCCCGCCCAGCCTCCCAGCCAGGGTGGCGGATAGAGCCTCAAGTCCCCAGGGGCCGAGAGAGGCAGCAAGGCCCACGCTAGCCCACGTGGGTGTCTCTGGTCTGGGGTCCTCCCCGGCAGCTCTGCCCACGCCCATCACACACCGGGCGAGGCCCCCAGAACCTCCCTGGAGACTGACAGGAAGGGAGGCCCGAGATGGAGCCCTCGAAAACACACTGCTGCACAGGGCTCGGGTCCTGACCTCCACACCGGTCGGTCAGCTGGGCAGTGTGGGAGAAGGGCCTGGCCTTCCTTCCCAGCAGTCTCTGCGGCCCCCTTGGAAGGAGGGGTCAAGGAGCAAAGGCAGAGAGGGTCAGGAGAAGGGACACCCAGGAACTGCCCTCAGCCCCGCCCCCACACCTACCCTGTTGGAACTCGGAACTCAGAAGCCCCTGCATCACAAAGGGGCCTGGCGGCCACCGGGCCTGACGCAGCCCCTGGAGTCACTGCCCCCTGCGCCTGGGAGCCCTCCCGCCCCGCCCTGCTCACTCAAACTCTAGGCCCTCCTGACCCAGCCCTGCCCGCGGGGACGGCTGTTCTGAGCAGCCTGACGGTGAGCCGCTGGGGGCCCTGCCTGCTGGACCAGCTTTCCCGGCAGCACCCACCAGGGCCGTCCACGCACTTAGCCCGTTGCCCGGGGCGGGAGGGGCATCTCCTGTGCAGCTTCACCTGCACCTGGGGCAGGAAGCCCCCGGGCACTGTACCCTTCCCGAAGGGCCCCCCGTGTCTGCGGCTGCAGCAGCCTCGAGAGGCCGCCTGCAAGTCTGGCTGTCGGCTGCCCCAGCCCTCACTCGGCTTGAAGGCTTTCACTGCCCTGGAGCAAGCAGGGTGGGCAAAGCGGCTCATCCCAGTGAAGGAGGGACCCCTCGTCCCGGCCTGCCCCTCCCCCGCTCACTGGTGAGACCAGAGCCTCAGACCCCGGGCCAAGGCCGGAGCGGGCCCACCGCCCGTTCAGAGATGCTCCCTGATGCCGAGGCAGCGGGGCCCCGGGGGACGGCCGCTGCCTCGTGGCACTGACGTCCTCAAGGGGCAGGTGGAAGTGGAAACAGAAGTAAGGTGTGGAGGTCTGGCAGTAAAAGAGGAATGAGCCTGGGGTGCGGGGGTGCTGCGGCTGCACCGAATCCCAGGGAGGCCTCGCTGGGGGCCCGTGTGCGGGTCTGGGTGGGGAGGACGGCAGGGGGCACGTGGGGGGTGATGGGAGTCCGGAGTCCTGAGAACCGGCAGGCCTGGCTCCTCCTCTCACGCTCGGGCAGGGGACACCCAGGAGGCTGAGAGTCCGTCTGAGATGCCCCGTGAGTCGGGACAGAGGGCAGGCCAGCCCTCGGTGTTGGCGACCGGACGCTCCCTGCAAAGGGGGTGCACACACACATGTGCCCACACGTGTGCACGCCCACACAGGTGTGCAGAGCACACACGCTCTCATCGCACACTCATGTGGGTGTGCGTGGCCCCTGGCTGGTTTCTCTGTGGCAGCCCCCTGGGTCTGCCCCATGGACCCCACGCTGTGAGCACGAAGGGGCGGGGGGTCCCCAGACCAGTCCCTGCCAGACTCAGGGCTGGGGGAGGCCAACCTACGGAACAGGCTGCCGTCAGGGCCAGCAGGCTGGGCGTCCCCCCACCCCGGGGCCCCAGGCACTCAGAGACCCCAGCTCGGGAGGGTGGGGGCAGCCAGCCTGCGGCACGGGGGCGAAGGCTGGGGTGTGCACTTGGCCAGGGAGAGAGGGGCCGAGCTCCCCGAAAAGCCCTGGCACCTGCTCCCAGCCGGCATCAGGCCCCTCCAGCCGCAGGCAGGGCCTCGGAAACTCCACACGGAGCTGCCCCTGCCCTGGGTGGGCACCGCCCCTTCCCTTGGCCTTGGGGTTGCTCAGCTGCTCACTGCTCTTGCCTAGAGACTCAGCGATGGGGCAGCTCGAACACCCCGTGGGGGTGATGGAGATCGCGGGCAGGTCCAGGCCGAAGCGCCCCAGCTTCCTGGAGGGGAGCCTGCTGCTCCTGCTGCTCCTGGTGACGGGTGCCCTGGTGGCCCTGGGCCTCCTCTATGCCCAGAGCAGAGGTGAGTACGGGCACCCTCTCCAGCCCCGCCCCCCCCGCCCCCCCCCGCTTCCCTCTGAAGGGTGTGCGTGCTGCCCACCGGGGGCCGAGGGCGGGGGAGCAGCCTCCTCCAGTGGGCCAGGCAGAGGTCTGCGCGGGGCACCGGGGCTGCAGGGCTGCGCTGCGACCCCAGCGAAGGGCCACTGACCTGCGGGGAGCCCGGGCGCCTTCCTGAAAGGCTCTGCCCCCGAGCGGGCTGGAGCGCGGCTGGCTCCACAGGCTCCAAACCCACCGGCCTCTGCGGGACCCCGAGATGCGCAGACCAGGTCCCCGCCTCTCCCGCGGCCCCATGCCTGCCCGGCGCCACCCACCGCCCACCGCAGCTCCCGGCCGGCCCAGCAGCAGGAGCCCCAACTCCAGCTCGGGACCGGCAGCGTCCCCTGCTGCCTCCGTGGCCTCGCTGCGGAAGGACCTTCTGGGCCCCTCCTCCCCGTGCCCCAGGGAGGCCCCAGTCGCAGGGGCCAATGGCTGCCCAGACAGACGGGCGGCGTTGTTGGAAGTGGGGGGAGGGTGCCAGGCTGGGGTCCCAGAGAGATGGGAGGGGCGACCCCCACCTGCAGCCCCCTCCCCAGGCCCTTCCCAGGCCTTGAGGAGCAGGGACTGTCCCCCTCTCAAGTTGGGGGGCAAGGCAGGCAGGCGCTCAGGTGCACGCACCAGGGCAGCTGCAGCCCATCAGGCCCCTGCTGCACCCTCGGGGGCCTGTGCACCAGGCAGGCACCACCGGCAGGTGCTGTGGGCTCCTCCCTCGGGCTCAGGAGAGGCCTTCATCCCTCTCAACAGTGGGCACCACAGCCTTTGTGCTAGAATGTTCCCCACTAGACAGCGCCGCCTGCACCATTTGTGGTGGGCCATTCCAGGGTGAGCCCACCCCGGGCAAGGCTGGGCCTGAGAACCAGAAGCCCCACTGTGGCTGTGGTCCGGCCCCCCTTGGTCTCCTCCAAGGGTGGCCCGGCACCACCATCTCCTTGGGTGCGTGGGGGGGGAGGGGGCGGGTTGCTGGATGCACAGAGAGCCCTGGGGAGGCCAAACCCCAGAGCACCGCTGCTCAGGGGCCCCCAACCTGCCAACACCTGGCTTAGAGGCTCCAGGGAACAAGGATGAGGTCGCCCACCCCGGCTGTGGGGCGCCAGGGGACCGGGCCTCCCCTCAGTAGTGAGGAGCAGCAAAGCCCACATCAAGGAGGGGGACTGTCCCTACCCGGCCTGCCTCCCCCTCCGTGCCATCCCATAAATGCAAGTGCGGGTGCCGCCAGGGCTCCCCCATCGGGACCCCAGGCCCGCAGCCCCGGAACCAGTCCCCCCGCCAACCGCAGCCCAGCCTGGGTTCGAGAAAGCGTTTCTGCGCATTTGTAATTCTCTATTTCTACATGTTTTATTTCCACTCTAATTTTTTATTGACTCATGAGTTATTTAGAAATGTCTTATTTTCATTTCCAAATGCATGGAGATTTTTTTAGTTACCCTTTTAAATTGGTTTCTACCTTAATTGCCTTGTTGTCAGAAACCAGGGTTTACAGGACATGGATGCTTTGCCACCTGCTGGGTCTCCCTGAAGGGCTAACCCGAGGTCGGGCGCAAAAGCCACCGGTGTGAGTTTCTGAAATAGAGCCAACCGCAGGGACATAAACACATGTGTCAGATGCATCAAATCTGCTGTTTGCTTGTTTCATTTTCTGAGTCTTTTAATAGTCGAGAGATTCGTGTGTTAAAATGTTGCACTAGAGAACTATCCATTTTCCTTGCAGTTAAGTGTCGACTTACCTACTCTGAGGTTACATTATTTACGTGAATACAAATTTAAAATTAGTCTGCCTTCTGATATGTGTAGTTCTGTTCTGACTCTATCTTAACGCTGCTTGTTGCCACCCCAAATTCTGTTTTCCTTTCGATGCTCCTTCGTCTGACAGAATATAAGACACGAATGCGCATCAGCAGCTGCCCAGCTGTTTCTTCCAGTCGCTCTATTGAAACTTTGAGTCTTTAGCGTTAGATGTAGCAGCTCTTGCAACAGCGGTAGCCAGGTGCCATCTTGCTCCGTGACTGGAAGGTTCCGTCTGTCCGCATCTCCGGGGAGATGCCAGACTGTTCTGGCCGCTCATAAACCTCTTCTCCCACCCCCTGCTGGACCGCTCTGCTGTTTTCCACTCGCCTCTCCCTGGTCTTTTTAAACCTTAGCTGGTTTAAAATTTGTTATTTTTAAAGTTGCAGATAAACCTTTTTGGAAAATGAAATTATTTTAATTAAAGTTACCCAGGGAAATACCGCCTCTTGCCCACAGTCCTGCCCACCCTGGAAGTCTGCTCACAAGCCACATTTGTTGTTTTTGTGCAGAGGCTGGGAAACCACGCCCGCTGCCTGGTTTTGTAAATAAAGTTTTATTGGAACACAGCAGCACCGTTCACGTAGGTGTTGCCTCTGGGTGCTTCGTGCTGCCCGGGCTAGGAGACCAGGTAAGACCCCCTCTGTGTGGCCCACGAGCCTTCAGCACTTACTGCCTGGCCCGCCACAGGAGAGCATCGCCGGCCCCTGACCCGGAGTGTGTCCCTGCGCTCCAAACCTCGACGTCCAGCCCTCCTTCCATGCTCATGTGAGGTCATGGGAGGCATCAGGTGGGGGCTAACACCTCGGCTCCTAAGTCTGACGGTCTGGCTGGGCAGGCCAGCCCCCTGCCCCCCGCTGCCCCACATTCCAGCTCGTGGCCTGGGGAGGTCTCCCTGTCCGCACAACGGAATGTAACAGGCACCATGTTAGAGGCTCGCTGGAGAGTCAATGATTGGGTGTATCAGAAGCACATAGAAAAATGTCCGCGGCACTGTTCACGATCAGGTCCCACACCAAACATCGGATGTTAACCTTGGCTCGCCATGTTTCCCCTTCTGTGTCGGGAATGGGAGGAGGGGCCCGCTCCTCCTGCAGCCCCCCGGGCCCCACCCCCCGATGCAGGAGCTCCGCTGCCTTTGGACACACCCACAGTCCTCGCTCGCTGAGCTTCCATGGAGTGCTTTTCACAACTGAGCTCTGAAGAGCAGCCGGATTACATTTTCCTCTCCTGTTATTTGGCTTTCTTATCCTGAAGAGCTGCCTTGTTTAAGGAGTTTTCTTCCTGCCAGATTACTTGATTACGGGCCTGTCTGGTCCCCATCGGAGGTGGACCTCTTGCCTGGAAAACATGCTCCTTTGGGGGACGCCGCAGCCCACAACCGGGGCACCAGGCACCCGCTGCTAATTACTCCAGATGCAAGTCCACTCAGGACGACATCTTTTCCCATCTTCTGATCTTTTCTCCAAACACTTGTTCAGCAGGGAGCAGCTGTCAACGTGGACAGGTGGTCACAAACCGCTGTCTCCCACGCAAGGCCACACGCTCGCACAGAAGGGTCCCGGCGGCCTCCGAGCTCGAACAGAACCCGGGGAGAGCTCTGCCTCCCAGGCCCCGGGGCGCCTCCAATATTCTCTTCTCAGAAGAGGACATTTAACGAAATCCTTGAGACCCTGCTCATCTCTGTAACCCAAGGACTCTGTCCGCACACAAGAGAAGCTTCCGTGTGGCGAGAGTCCGGCTGTGATCGGGGTGGGACTTGAGTCTGTACAAAAGCAAGGAGGTGCGAGTTACCCTCCAGCATCCCACGAACCCCAGATCGGGTGAGTCTCACCAGATTCACTCGTCTTTTTTTTTTTTTAAACCATTCCCAATGCTCTGCGTTATTAATGAAAATTTGGATTCCCATCTGACATCATTTTCTTCCTCTAACACTAACGGTAAAGTGTGCTAGAAATGAGTTCCCCCAGCTTTGGTGTGTCTGAAAAACCTGCCATGTGATCTGAACTGTAAGAGTTCTTTCCCGGGTGTAGAAGTCTCAGTTGACCACGCCCTGCGCCCCACCGCGTCTGGCTCACCCCATCGGCTCACACAGCTCTGGGTGGGGGTCTGCCGTCTGCCCCTCCGGGGCGGCTCTTCCTTCGCTGACGCCCTCAAGGTTTTCTCTTCTCTCTGATTCACGGAGGTTGACTGGGGTGCGTCTCCGGCGTGTGAGTATTTTGGGAATTACACTGTTCGTGGGTTTGGGGGCAGGTATTATGTCTAATTTTGAAAATTTTTCAGCAATTTTTTTTTTAAGTATTGGTTCTGCTCCTTTCTCCGCCCCTCCTGGGCTCCACCTGCGTGGCCGTCGGAGGCTTTGGCGTCGGCCCACGTGACGTGGCTGCGCTTTTCGGTTTTTGTTCACTCTCTCACTCCTCGTGAAACAGTTTGAAGAGCTCGGCCCTGACGAGCGCTCAAGTTCACTGGCTTTCCCCCGCTGTCCCCAGTGCTGTGGTCAGTCTAAGGAATCCTTCACCTCTAATCATGTGCCTCTCGTTGCCCACGCTTCTGTGTGACTCCCATCATTTCCGTCTCTTTGCCGGAACGTCCTGCCCGTTGATCCAGGCCACCCACCTTTTCCGTGAGAGCCTCTGACAGACAAATCGCAGGTTCTTCAAAGTCCTCTGGTGGTGCCAATCGGCGCCTGGGCTTTGCCTGCCTTCAGTGCTATCCACTAGTTTCTGCTGTGACGATGGGTCGCTTTCCTTTGCTTCTATGCCTGCGTGTCCCACACATTGTCACTGTGCTGGACAGTAGGAGAGGAAGAACAGAAACTGAGAGGAGAGTATCGTTTGCAGCCGTGAATGGGCAGGCCTGCTCTTCTGTCCGTCCGTCCGTCCGTGTGAGGGGTTGAAGTAGTCCAGCCAGGAGCTCGCTGATCTGGGGTCCGTTTTTGCTACTCGCTACCCCGAGGGCACCACAGACGTCCACCTCCTCTGGCAATGGGCTAATGCGACCTTACACTCACAGAAGTGGGCCAGGTGCCCACGGTCTGCACACTGGCTCTTGCTGCAGCCTCGCCGTCAGCAGAGCCGGGGGCCTGGGACGCAGAGAGGGTTCCTGCACAACTGGGGCTTTGCTGAGGCTTATTGGTGCCAGGCTCTTGCCGGGCCAGTGGGATCCCTGACGCCCAGGCCCAGTCTCCGCCGGGTCACACCCTGCGTGCCGAGGCCCCAGAGTGGAGCCCTCTCGGCGTCCCCGCCCTAATCTCCACACCCGCCAATTTTGTGCCTAACACCTGGGTTTCCTGCCCCGGCCCCAGTGAGAGCAGGTCTCAGTGTGACGTTTGTCTAAGGTCCTGGGAAGAGGCCCTGCACCTCTGGCCCTCGTTCAGACCCATGGGCTTCCGCCCGGTCCCTGGGGGGAGAGGGTTCACGACCCGACCCCTGCCAGAGGAAGTCCCGGCAAGGAGGAGGAGGAGGAGGAGGAAGAGGAGGAGGAGCCGGGGCCTGCGCCTCCACAGAAGCAGAGAATCCGCACATATTAACCCTTTAACGTACTGATCACAGCTGTGCTATTACATGGGTGAGATCTGCAGAGAGGGGCCTCGATCCGGGGCCCCGGCTGCCCGCTTCCCCAGGTCTGGGTCAGAGAACCCCCAAACGTGAACTCCCGGGTTCTAGGCTGTCTGTTATTTCTCACTTGTGGACGCTGGTCCTTTCATAACTGTAAATTCATGCTCCAGCTGGCTCGCGGTGGGGGCCCTGGGTCGCTGGGGCTGAGGAAGCTTCCTCTGGAGAACACGTGTTAGCCTCGGCAGGCGCCTGGGAGGCAGCCAGCCTGGGGCGGCGAGAAGCTGGGCTCTCGGCCGGAGGTTTCCTTGGCCACGTGGTCACTAAACAGCCCCCCCGCCCGCCCCCGCGCCTGCGTGACAACCAGCCCGTGACTCTGTGCTCTCCGGGCGAGGGGTGGTTTCCAGCCAGGAAGGTCCTTTGCAGCTTTTTTTTGTTTTTGAGAGAGACAGACAGATAGGAAGGGGAGACATAAAATGACCCCAACCGAGGTCCACCTTTGGAAAAGAACGAAATTTTCAGAGGGAATGTCAAAGTTATTTGCACATTGAAGCAGAGATGTAAGAAGACAGGGCAGAGGGTGCGTCCATCGGGCACTGAGGAGAGCTGCCCCTTCTGGGACAACGAGGGGAAAACGCCCTCGTGGGGGGTCTGTTTGCGGCGTTTCCTGCGGCACCCACTTTAGCAGTGGGGGGGGCGAGGAGGCTCCACTTTCATCAGCTTGTGCGTCCAAGGGCTTCGCTGCGTCCGCTTCTTTTCCTTAAGCACAGACCTGAAATGGGAACACGGGGCCGGAAGTCCGCACTCTGTCTCCCCTGGGGACTCAGATTTGTTGCTGGGAACAGGCAGACAGGGAGGGGCCCAGCTTCTGAGGTCATTCGAGGCTAAGGGGACGCGACTCTCGGGTCTCAGTCATTTCTGGAAACGCCTCCTCCAGAACCCACTGCGTCCCCAGGCAACTCGCTCTGTCCTCTGAAAACTCAGCCCGGGCTGGGATGGTCCCCCCCGGAGGCCACCGTGGCCGCGCTGGGGCCGTGGGGCGGGGGCAGATGGCAGAGACGCAAGCGTGTGGGTGCCGTGCACTGACCTCTCTGGTTCTGGCGGTGTGTCGGGATGCGTGTGCGGTGCGCCGCTGACTGGGAAGGACCTCCTCCGCTTCCCATACTAAACTTACACGCAGGTGTTACAGTGTCCGTTTGTCTGACGAACTCACCACCTGTCCTTCGGGGACCCTCCGCCGAATCAGCAGGGGACTTCAAACGGCTGGTTCGATGACTCTTGACGTCCGCTCACCGCGTCTCGGGGCTGCCGGGGTTTTCTCCTGGGCATCGGTCAGTCACATTTGCCCGCTCCCTCAGTGCGAGGTTCTTCCCAGCTTTCTGGCGCCGTCCCGCCCCTGGCGCCGGCCACAGCCACCTGGTGACCTCTCGCCAGTCCACCTGCAGCTGCAGCGGGCGGCACCCAGCCCCCAGCTCCACTCCACGTCTGGCGGGGTCGGCGCCTCCCCCTCCCACTGGTTGAATAAAAGCAGCCACCAGGGCCTGTTGTCCCGGGAGGGCTGTCCCTCTATCCCTGAGGGGGACGCCCACTGAGACAGCCCCGATCTAGTGCTCTGGACCACTGAGAGGGGCAGACACCGCGGGGCAGCCGGGACCCACGCCCGTTACCCCTGCGTCTGTGCCTGGTCTGTGGGCCGTCCTCTCTGAAGGTCAGGTTTGCCCCCACACGCAGAGCAGGGAGCTCTCTGTCTCCCTCCCGCAGTGCTGAGGCTTCCTGAGGGCAGGCCCAGGTCAGACTCCACAGGATCTCGGGGGCCCAGCTCCGGGCCGGCTGACAGCCGCCAGCAAGCTTCGGATGGGTGCGCGGACAGGGGAGATTTTCGGACGAGTGCATGGCCAGGGGCAGATGAAAAGAGCAGAGGGAGAAGCCCACCCGGCGAGGGCCCGGCATTTTCAGCCCTGCCCACACCTCGTCCCCCTCCCACTCAGAGATGAGTTCTGCTGGGGCCCCTGTGTGCCGGGCCCCTGGTGATGAGCCCTCACGACAGACGAGCGCGGCGGCCCCGTGCAGGGAGCCCCAGGAGCGCCCCAGGGGGCCGGCATTGAGGAGAAGGGCAGCACCTTCCCGAGCGTCCGTTCCCCGGGCAGCCTGGGAGCAGGAGGCCGGGGGACGGGGCGAGCGCTGTGTTTCTCCCCAGGGCAGCAGCTGCCGCTCCTTCTCAGCCGGCTGCGCTTCTCCCAGGAAGAGAAGACCCCCGCAGCTCGAGAACCCCGAGGTAGTCTCGCCCCCCCCCAGACACGCCTGGGCAGATGGGTGGGGAGCCCACGGCCCGGCCGTGTCCACTACAGGCCCAGGGTGTGTGGGCAGTGGGAGGGCCTAGAGTCCCGTGAACACGGAGGACAGTGGCAGGAGGCAGGATGCTCCCCCAGTGCTGGGACCAGCATGAGTCAGCTGTCCCCAAGCTGCCCCTGAGGGCCAGCAGGGACATGGTGATATAACCACCTGGACGGGGAAAGGGGAGTCGGATCTTGGGGTCCAGGTGTGCAGGACGGGCAGCCCAGGCAGGCTGCCTGGAGGAGTTGACCCCTGACAGGGGAGAGCTGACCGGGCAGACAGGCAGGAAGGCATCATGACCTGCTTCAGCCCTGGGGCCTGGGCAGCTGTGGGGAGTCCACCAGAAGGAGACCGTCCCCCACTCAAGGCCACAGGCCCGAGCCACCCAGGGAGGACGGGCAGCTGCCCTCTGGACTTGTCCTCAGGGTGCCCTGCCGGACCATTCTCGGGGACCGGAGGTGGTGTGGAGGCCGGGCCCCCTCCCTACACAGCGCCCCACCCTACGGGCTCCCTGCCTGCACCCCACCTGCTCGCTGCCTCCCCAGGGCTCACACTGCTCCTTGTCCCCAGCCATCAAAGTGTCCCAGGATGACCAGATCTGCACCAGCCCCGGCTGTGTGATAGCAGGTGAGCGCCCTTCCTCAGCCCTGCCCCGCCCTGCCCTGCGGCTGCCAGTGACCGTGACTCTGGCCCGGCTGCAGGCCCAGGGGCACAGCCCTGGAGGGAGACCACCATTGGGACAGATGGCGGGCCCTGCCTCCGAGGTGGGGTGGGCGGAGGAAGTGGGCTCTGCCTGGGATGCGGGCTCCCCAAAATGAAAGAGGAGGGAACGGAGGGATGGGAGCCATCGAGGGGGGTCAAGACCATGTGGGTGCTGTGAGGTGGCTCTGGAAGTCGAACCCCCTGCGTCCAACCCCCCTGAGGCTCGGAGAGGGTGCCCCTCGGACCGGGGGCCCACAGCTGGTCTCCCCTCTTCCTCTCCACCCCGGGGACGAGCAGCTGCCAGGATCCTCCAGAACATGGACCCGTCCAAGGCACCCTGTGAGGACTTCTACCAGTACGCCTGCGGGGGTTGGCTGCGGCGCCAGGTCGTCCCGGAGACCAACTCCCGGTACAGCATCTTCGACACCCTGCGGGACGAGCTGGAGGTCACCCTCAAAGGTGGGCACCCGCCCCGTCAAGGTGGGGCCTCGGGGGCGGTCCATAGAGCCCGCCTCCGTCCCTGGGGTAAAGGGCCGGCGGGGGCACAGGCACCCCCTGTCGCTGAGGGTGGCGGGAGCGTGAGGACCTGCGACCTGGCCCCCAACACCCCCCAAGCCTCTGTCCAGCCTCCTTCTGGGCCCGCAGGGGTGCTGGAGAGTCCCTCCGCCAAGGACCGGCCGGCCGTGCGGAAGGCGAAGGCGCTGTACCGCTCCTGCATGGACGAGAGTGAGTGGGCGAGGACGCCCACACCGGGCGCCTCCTTCCTGTGTCTCCTGAGCCCCCTGCTCGGAGGCTCGCAGACCCAGCCAGTGGGCAGAGGCACCGGCGGCCAGCTTCCCACTCCATGGCCCTGGGGTGCGGGGCCGGCCGTGTTCCGGGGTCTCCTGGGAGGCGGGCTGCTTTCTCACTGGGTCCCCAGCTGTGTGGGGGTGCTTCCTTGAGCCCCCTGCTTGCACAGGCCCAGGCTCACCTCCCGTGGCCATGGAAGCTGAGGGTCTGTTCCTCAGGCCTAAACAGTCCCCGCCAGGAAGGGGACATCCCGAGCTCCCTCCCGCAGGGGATTCCTGGCCTGAGGCAGAGTGCAGAAGGACAGCGGCCAGGCTGCCTGTGCAAACCCCAGGCTCGGCCAGGGAGCCAGTCTGTCGCCTCAGGCAGCCATCCCACGGGGGGGCCCCCGCTGGTCACGCGCTGCTCCCTGAGTTCTGTCCAGGCTTCCAACAGGGCCAGAGCCCAGGGTGCCCCTGACCCACCCTGCAGGGGCCGTGCTGCGGGTATCAGGACCCCCAGTGGCCCAGGCCCTTCTTCCCACGAGCTCCCCCGCCACCCACCCAACACCCTGGCGTTTCCACGTGGGCGTCCCCTTTGTCCCCACATGCTGGTCCCCACCTTCACCTTGTCTCCGGGCCACGTTGTCCCAAGCTTCCCGCCAGCTCCTTGCTGTCCGGGAGAAGTGGCACTTTACTACCAGTCCGGCCTGCTCCGCCTACCCCGGGCAGGGCCCCTCCCCTCACGAGCACCCAGGGACCCCCTGGGTGCGGGCCCCCCTCAGACTGGCTCGCCCACCACCACTGGCCGGTTTGCAGCTCCCGGGTCTGGCCTCCCCTCCCGGCCTCCCTGTCTGGGGGCCCCTGCACCCCTTTCACATCTTCATCCCGCCTCCCCTGTTTCCGGGCCCTTCCTGGAGGGAGGGGCAGGCTCAGCACCGGCCGTGCAGCGTCCCCTGGGGTCTGTGTGGCCACGGCGTCGCACCCACCGGTGTCCGGGCGAGTGACCGCTCACTCCTTCCTCGCCCAGGCGTCATAGAGAAGCGAGACTCTCAGCCGCTGCTGGACGTCTTGGAGGCAGTGGGAGGCTGGCCGGTGGCCACGGACAGGTGGACCGATGCTGTAGGTGAGGCCAGGGCCGGGGCAGCTCACACAGGCAAGGCACCCTGGGGCCCCGCGGGGCGGAGGCCTTCCAGGCCCGGGCTGGGGACTCTGCACCAGCAGCGGGCAGGCTCCCTGGGGCTGTCCCCTCCAGCTCAGAAGACCCCTGGGAATGGCTGGTCTCCCAGACCCAGGCCCAGGGACCCAGGGCTCCCGGCTCTGGGGGAAGGCCCAGGGCGCACCCAGACACTCACTGCTACTCCCGGGGCCTGGGGTGCCCCGTGAGGAAGCGTATCCCCCACATCCCCAGCCCACAGGCCCACACGTGAGCCATGCAGGTGTACCCTGCACCCCAAGGTCTCGACTTAGGGGGCCAGGGTCCACTCTGCACCGAGCAGCTGGGCTGGGACCCCGCAGGCCGGGGGTCTCCAGTACGGGGCACTGACTCCCCAGGCCCCGGCTGGGAGCTGGAGCGGCAGCTGGCCACGATGAACTCACAGTTCAACAAGCGCATCCTCATCGACCTCTTCATCTGGAGTGACGACCAGAACTCCAGCCGACACATCATCTACGTACGAGCCTCGTGGAGGGGGGTGGAGCCGGGGGGCAGGTGCCCGAACCTGGCGGGGGCTCTCACAGCACAGTGGGGGGCGGTCAGGGCTGTGGCCCGAGCAGCACATGAGCCCGGGGTGTGTTCCGAGGGCCCTGCTCTGGTCCAGGTCAGAGTCTGGGGGACCGGTGGCCCGAGTCCCGATCCCAGGCCCATGTGCTAGGCGGGTCCTCAGGACAGGCTGTTTAGTCCTTTGGCTCCCGGGCTGCAAGCCTGACCTCAGAGAGCCCCTGCGGCCTGGACCACAAGGCCGGAGAGACCCGTGGGAGGGTGAGGGCGGCTGGCACACACGCCCTCCGCCCACTCTGCAGTCCAGCCCCTGGGGCCCTCTGCCAGTCCCTCACCGAGCAGAGCCTGGGCAGCAGGGTGCCTGCACGCCCCCAGCAGCACCCCGCTTCTGGGTCATGGGGGAGGGAGAGTGTTCTGCCAGCCTGCGGGGACCCCCGGCGCCCGGCCCCAGCTCACACCCTCTGGGCCTCCAGATAGACCAGCCCACCCTGGGCATGCCGTCCCGAGACTACTACATACAGAAGGGCAGCAACGAGAAGGTGAGCCGGGCCCCGCCCCACGCCCTGGCCCCTTCCTGCCAGCCCCTCTGGCTGTCACTTCAGGGCCCACAGGGGGCCCAGCTCCCCTGCATACCTTCTTGGCCCTTGTCCCCAGAACCAGCCTTCGTGAGCACGTGCACAGGTGGAGGCTGGAGCTGTGGGCTGGGGACGAGCTTTGCCACCATGGTCGGGAGTCTCCCCAAGCCTTGGGGATAAGCTCAGCCCGGCAGCCCCACAGCGTGGGCCTCCGGTGGTGCGGAAGCTCGGGACGGGCGCAGCTGGGAGGGGGGCCATGAGGCGTTCAGCCCCGAGCTGTCTGGGAGCAGCCACTGGGTCTAGGAAGCAGGCATGACCACCTGTGGGCAGGCCTGTCGGGAGTGTGGGCGACAGCGGAGGACCTGGCCTGGGAGGGCGTGACAGTTGGCAGGGCCCCTCCGTGCCACCGCGGCCCCCTGGCCGACGAGCATCCTGGAGCCTGCTCGGTGTCAGAGGCCCACCCCTGCCCCACAGAGAGCCGCATGGGGACCAAGGTGGCCCGGGCCACCCGACCCCCTTGCGTCCTTCGGCCCAGGTGCGCGAAGCCTACCTGCAGTTCATGGCGTTGGTGGCCGCCATGCTGCGGAAGGACGCGGGCCTCCCTGAGGACGGCCACCTGGTGCAGGCGGACATGGCGCAGGTGCTGGAGCTGGAGACGCGGCTGGCGAACGTGAGGCCCGGCCCCTGGGGGAGCACGGGGAGGGGGCCCACGCCTGGACCCTGGCCGTCCCCCCATGTCACCGCCTGCCCCTGCCCCGTGCAGGCCACAGCCCCCCAGGAAGAGAGGCACGACGTCACCGCCCTGTACAACCGGATGGAGGTGCGGGAGCTCCAGGACAAGTTCCCCCTGAAGGTGCGGCCGCGTGGTGCCTGGCCCTGGCAGGAGCGGGGCCCAGACCCGGCCCCAGGCCCCCCTGTTTCCTGCCTCTCGCATTTAAGCCTCAGAAATGCTCCTGACCCTGAGCGGGGCCCTGTGACTGGTCATCCACACAGGGACATTTCCCCACAGGCCAGCAGGCGTCAGCCAGGCCGTCGGAAGCGGGAGCCACTCCACCCCTGGGGCGGCTGCTGTGCCGACCCTTTTTCCCAGCAGGACACAGGCTGCGAGGGTTTGCTGCCTTGACCGGGCTGGGGAGACCCCCCCCCACAGTCCCCTTCTGACTCCCAGCAGGGCTCTGCCCACCCGGAGCTCTGCCCGCCCCTGAGGGGCCCACGCCCGACCACCGCGTGGGCCCTGCCCTCTCCAGGGGCTGAGGCCGGGAGGGGCTCCTTCTGCAGACTTAGGGGAAGACGTGCCATTCCAGTCACTGCCAGCTGCTGCCAGGCCAGAGTGCGGAGGGCGTGGGCTGGGACAGAACCGGAATCGGAGGGAGGAGGCTGGGACACTCCCCCGGCCAGAGGTTTCAAACAGTCCAATGAATTGACTTATCAAAGACAGATCCCCCTGTTCTTCACGGCTGGTGTTCTTGCTGTTTTGCTTGAGAAATCTTTGTCCCCCACCCGCCAGGGTGGCTCAGGTCTACAGTCAGCCCTGAGTTTATTTTTTACGGAAAGCAGCGTAGAAATCATTTCCTTCCGTGCCGATGGCCAGGGGCCTTTGTCCGCCACGCGCCGGCCACCACGGCCCGCGCCACACGGATAATTCGGATAATTCTCTGTCGGACCCAGCGCGTCCAGCTGCCTGGTCCTTCCGAGTCCTCTGGGTTGCTCTTGGCCTCGGGCCCTTTCTCACAAAACTCGCGGTCAGCCGCCAGCCCCCGAGAGGCCCGTGGAGGTTTGACAGGCGGCTGCTTTGAGGCTCAGAATCGGTTTGGGGGAGGCTTCCGGCCCGTGGACCTAATGGACGTTTCTATGTGTCTGCTCCTTCTCTCCGTGCGTTGCAGAGTTTTCCAGTGCAGGGCCTTCCACCTCTTTCACGAGATTCGTCCCTGTGGTTCTCACGCTGCCGTGAGGAGTGTCGCTGGGTGATGTGGCTGCCTCGCGGCTGACACCCAGAAACACCAGTGATGTGTGTGGCGGTTTTGCTCGGCTTGGCACACGCATTGGCTCCAACGCCTTGTGGGCCCTTCCGAGGGCACGTTTCGTGCACCCGAAATCCCGCCCTCGGTGAAAAGTCTTGTTCCTCCCCTTTCGAGCCCCCCCCACCCCGACTTCGCCGTGTCTCGTCTTATTGAACGGGCTGGGACGCCCAGCCCAGTGCCAAAGGTCCAGGCGCCATTGGTTTACTGCCTATGACACACTTATATTTTCCCTTTCTTCTTTAGTCGCTTTTGCTAGGCTGTGATTTTCTGGGGCTCTTTCAATCGCACTCAGGTTTCCAAAAAACGCGATGGCACAGGCACAGTTTCTTCCCTTCCACAGTCCGCGGGCTCTGCAGTGACGCGCCCACCCTTGTCCCGACTCCGAGTGTCTGTGCCTTCCCCGACTTCCTGGCTGTTCTGTGGTGGGGGCCGGGGGCCTGGGGGCCGGGCGCGGTGCCCAGCTCTGCCGCTCTGCCCCGCAGGGGTTTAACTGGACCCTGTTCATACAATCCGTGCTGTCCTCAGTCAAGATCAAGCTGCTCCCAGATGAAGAGGTGGTGGTCTACGGCGCCCCCTACCTGCAGAACCTGGAAGACATCATCGATGCCTTCTCAGCCAGGTGAAGCCCGGGGAAGGCCCCACAGATGAGGGCTCCCCATCTGTGCCCCTGCCCTGTCCCCTCCCCCACAGCTCCCCCTCTCAGGAGTGTGTCCCACACACAGAGCCTTGAGGAATGGGGCACAAGGGCGGGGGGAGGTTACCGGCCAGTGGATTCTCACATTAGAGATGTGAGCCCCTCCTCGAGTGCCTGGGGGGTGTTCTAGAGGTCTCCCCACCACCCTGAATTCCCTGTTTCGGGCAGAACCCGCTGACCAAGGGCCCATAAGCCCCAGCCCTCTGTGGGCAAAGACCACCCCCGCGACCTGCCCGCCCTCTGCCCCCGCCCACAGGACCATGCAGAACTACCTGGTCTGGCGCCTGGTGCTGGACCGAATCAGCAGCCTGAGCCAGCGGTACAAGAACGCACGGGCCAACTACCGCAAGGTGCGGAGACCCCGCACCAACGGCTGCCCACCCGCCACTCCCGCAGGCGGTTTATGGCACTGAGCACCTGCTGGGGCCGAGGTCGCGGGGTCAGATCCCGGGAGGAGGCCGGGGAGGCGCCCGCCCACCTGGGGCAGCGGGACCGGGGCAGTGAGCAAGCTGGAGGTTTGCCGTCTGGGAACCCAGGAGTCTGACCCGAGGGCAGGGCGGGCTCTCCTCAGAGGGGAGACTGGAGACCTCAGGGCACAGAAGAGCTAAGAATGGAGAGACAGGGCAGAGTCCCAGGGGGTGGAAGGTGGTGGCGGGGCGCCCCGGCCCTCTGGGGCAGGACACGAGGTTGGGGAGGGAGGCGGAGCTTCCCTCTGGGCCCAGGCAGAGCCCAGGTCTACGGGCTGAGGCCTCCTGCGTGTGGTCGCTCAGGCTGCGGGGGGAGGTTAGAGGCAGGGGAGCCGCAGGGGCCCTGTGGCCATGGCGGCTGTTCTGAGACAATGACTTGGGGGAGGTGGGGTCAGAGTGGAGGCGGCAGCGTCACTCAGGTGTACAAGGCTTCAGACAAGTCCTGAGGACAGACAGTGAGGTGTCCAAACTGGCACGGGGCAGGAGGGACCCAGGAGTTTTCGGGACTACTCCGCTGTTCTCTGCAGAGTGATGGGTGGGGTGGAGCCCTCCGCTGCCACAGGGACACGCAGGTCGGGTCCCGTCTGCACCCTTGCCTGGGCTTGTTGGGCTGGAGACCAGCCGGGCAGGAGGGCTGGAGCCGAGCCTCGAGCTCTGAGGAGGCAGAAAGGGTCGCACTGGCTTCTTTGGGGGCAGAAAACCCCACAGTCCCGGCAAGTGGGGCAGATGCCGCTCAGAACTCTGGGCCTGCCGAGATCGGGGCCAGGAATCTGAAGGAGACGTGTTTCCACCTCATGCCCCGCGCCCCTGGGGACAGATGGGCAGATGTCCTTGTTACCACTTGGGTGATAAGAAAGACGGAAGAGCTGGTAGCTGAGCAAGCATGGTCCCCAGGACCAGCCTGGAGTCTTGCCAGCCTGGGGCTGGGGCTGCCGTCCTGCCAGGCAGAGTCCGGCCGCACAGCCTGGCCAGGGTGGCAGGGACGGGGGTGAGGAGCTTGGGGCCGGGGAGGTCCGCCCATCCTGCAACTCCCTGCCTGGGTTGGAGCCCCCCCACAACCTGCACAGCCCGCCCTCCCTGCACCTGTGCCCAACATTCAAGGGGAGCCCCTGAGTTCACCCAACGTCCACCGACCCTGGGCACCCCAAAGCCAAGCACAGGGAAGCGAATGTTAGCAGAGGCAGTGGAATGAACGAGTGAAGTAGTGAATGAATGAATGATCGGCTGCCAGGCGCTGTACGGCAAGACCAAGGAGGAGGCGCGCTGGCGGGAGTGCGTCAGCTACGTCAACAGCAACATGGAGAGCGCCGTGGGCTCCCTCTACGTCAAGGAGGCCTTCTCCCAAGACAGCAAGGAGGCGGTGGGTGCCCGGCACCCAGCTGTGGTCAGGGACCCAGTGCCCTGTGGGGCTGAGGCGGGCAGGGCACGTCGCCACCAGGGGGCACTGTGACTCAGTGTTCTCGCTGAGGGGGCCCAGTGTGCTCCTCCTCGCCAGCAGCCCGGGTGTGTTGGGGGTGGGGGGGAGTAACGTTTGCCCTGGTGTCTGCAGGGGGAGGCCAGGAGGGCCGTGCCTGTCAGGGGCTTGTGGCCCTCAGCCAGGCCTTGACCCCACAGGCTGCCTGGGAAAGGGTTCCGTGTGTCTAGGGGTGAGGGGCCCTAGGCACCCCTGGGACAAAGTACAGCAGAAGGGACCCTGTCCCAGGAAGGTCACCCCCCACACCACCACGGAGCAGACGGCAGCCTGGGCCGGGCTTTGGGCCAGAGCCCTGCAGCGGCCCCGGGCCGGTCAGCCGAGCCACGGGCCATACTCCCCCAGGTCAGAGAGCTGGTGGACAAGGTGCGGGAAGCATTTGTGGAGACCCTGGATGAGCTGAGCTGGATGGACAAGGCCACCAAGCAGAAGGCCCAGGAGAAGGTGGGCAGCAGGCCGGAAGGCAGAGGTCAGGGCTTGCTGGCAGACAGGAGGGGGGTGCCGCAGGGCGGGCCAGGCGGCCGTCCCCGGGGTGCTCACTGCACGGCCAGCGCAGGGGGCCTGTGGGCAGAGCCTGGGAGACCCCCCAGCACCCCGAAAGCAGGTGAGGAGACCAAGACCTCAGGGAGCCAGGCCACCCACTGGAAGCCGCTCTGCCCCAGCCCCAGCCCCAGCCCCATCAGACCCCCCGCCAGCTGCTGGGCTCAAAGCTGGGCCTGGGCCCAGCCTGTCCGAGGTCCGGCTCCGTTAACCCTGCCCACAGTCTATGGGGCAGGGACCAGGCCCTTGTCCCTCCCGCACACAGCCAGGGCGGAGCCAGGACGCCCACCGTGGGCAGACATGGCCCCCCTCTTTGCCAGGCCATGAGCATCAGGGTGCAGATTGGATACCCCAACTACATTCTGGACAAAAGGAACAGACGCCTGGATGAGGAGTATTCCAAGGTGCGTGGCCCAAGCCAGGGGTCCCTCAAAAGCCCCCCCCGCCCCCCGTCTCCTGGCTCAGCCCCATCTGCCCATGGACCCACCCTGTGGTCCACAGGCCCTTGATTACCAGGGGTGGGAAGGGGCGGCTCTGTCAATAATTAGCTGCCTCCCCAGGGGGCAGCTGCAACTGTACCCTGTTAGAGAAGGGACAACTGAGGCCCCAGGGACGAAGGGGCTTGCTTAGAGACACGTCAGTTTATAGAGCCAGGGGTGCCCACCCCACCCCTGTCATCCCTCTGCACCCGGATTCTGTAGACCACACACCTGACCACCCTGCACGCCCCACGACCTGTCCCCTGCACCCCTGACTCCCCGCCCCCCGATACCCCACCCCCGGTCCGCTGGCCCGCAGTGACGCCCCGCCCGCCCACAGCTGGACTTTTCAGAGCACCGCTACTTTGAGAATGGCCTGCAGAACCTCAAGGCTGGTGCCCAGCGGAGCCTCAAGAAGCTGCGGAAGAAAGTGGATCAGAACCTGTGAGTGGGGACGGCATGGGGCGGGGGGCAGGGTGGGACACCGACTCAGGGCCACCCCTGCTTTCAGGCGCTGGGCTGAGGGAGGTATCAGATGTCTGGACTAGCCAGGCCCCAGCCGTCCACAGTGAGTGCGTGCTGCTGTGGCCTGGGCCCTCAGGGGTGGGCTCTGGCCAGCCCAGGGGTGGCCCAGAGGGAGGGCCGCTGGGGGTGAGGGCTGCAAGTGACCAGCTCACTTCTCCCAGCTGGATCATTGGGGCTGCCGTGGTCAACGCGTTCTACTCTCCAAACCGGAACCAGATCGGTAGGACCCCAACCCACCCCCCACCCCCGTCCCTCTGATGCCAGAGATGAGCCTCAAGGGCCTGACCCTTCCTCCTGGGGGCACCCCTGCCCAATCTCTGAAGGCGAGAAGGAGCCATCTGTCCCACCTGTAGGAACCTCACACTGTCCCCCATGTGGACGTTCGGGGAGGGGAGGGTTTCAGAGGACAGGGCAGCAGAAAAAGGGTGTGGGGCACCTGGACCTGGGTCCTGAACCTGACACACCCTGGCGCTGTCCTTGGGCTCTGGGCCTCAGCGTTCTCATCTGTGCAGTGGGCATGTGTCAGGACCTCTACCTCCCAGGCTGCAGGATTAGGCGACAGGACCCCAGAGGTCCGGGCACACGGGGGGTGTGCCCACTCACAGGCCCTTCTCTGTCCCTGCCCCTCCCCCACCACATCCACCATGGCAGTGTTCCCCGCGGGGATCCTGCAGCCCCCCTTCTTCAGCAAGGAGCAGCCGCAGGCCTTGAACTTCGGGGGAATTGGGATGGTGATCGGGCACGAGATCACCCACGGCTTCGACGACAACGGTAAGGGGCTGCGGTGGGGTCAGAGCCGCAGCTCCAGTCCCGCAGCCGCTCCACAGAGTAACAGGTCTGGAAGGGGACTGTGCCTTGGGATCCCGGCAGGAGGCTGACCACCCATCCCCTTTGTGGCCAGGCGGGAACCAAGGACTAAAAGGGCCTTGCCAGGCGCCCCCCCAGGGGAGCTTCGGTGGCAGAGGGGTCTGGAGTGGCAGGCTCGGCTCCTGGCTGGGGGCAGAGGGTGGAGGGCCTGACCCGCCGCATTTACCGCCCTTCCCTGGGCCTGTGAACCACGGGCGACACCGCCCAGGGTGTGCTGTAGCTCCCAGTTCTGGCCCAGGACGCAGCCAGCCAGCCCAAGGCCAGTCCAGGGCAGCCAGCAGCCTCCATTCTGACCTCCTTCCTCTGGGTGGCGCCACCCTGCCTGGTTCTAGTGGCCTGTCACCAGGCAGCGGGGCTACAGCTGCAGCCCAGAGAGGCTGGTTGCCAGGACAGCTTGACCATGGCACCTTACTAGGGCAGCCCCGAGTCCCGGGACCATGCCTCCCGCACCTCTTGGCCCCGGGACCTGAGACCCCACCCCCTAACCTCGAGGGCAGCGTGGAAGACCTCCGAAGCCTATCTCTCCCTGGGCCTGAGCCCTTGTCCCGGGACCACGCGCTGACCCCTTGGAGCAGGCCCGTGCCCTTTGGGCCCATCCTCTGCTTCCTCTGCTCACAAACATGAGCTCAGACGCCGGGGCCTCTGGCGGGCACGCAGGAGCGGCCCAGGCTGCAGCGGCAGGGCCGCGCGCTCAGCCCACCGTGCCCCGCCCCCAGGCCGGAACTTCGACAAGAACGGCAACATGCTGGACTGGTGGAGTAACTTCTCAGCGCAGCGCTTCCAGACGCGGTCGGAGTGCATGGTCTACCAGTACGGGAACTACTCCTGGGACCTGGCGGAGCAGCAGAACGTGAGTCGGCCGCCAGGGGCGCAGCTGCGCCGCGGAGGAGCGGGGAGGCCCGGGTAGCCCGGCCACTGCCCGCCGTCCTGTCTGCCGCGTGCAGGTGAACGGGTTCAGCACCCTTGGGGAGAACATCGCTGACAACGGAGGGGTGCGGCAGGCGTACAAGGTGGGTCCAGGAGGTGGGGACGGAGCCCTCAGACCGACAGGGACTCCCCCCTGCTCGAGCCCAGGTGCATCCTCACGCCCTGTGGGCGTCAGGAGCCCATTCCAGGTGGCACCCTGCAGGGGGCGCCTGGGCAGGGGGCCTCCAGGGAGCTCAGCCTGTGCAAGCAACCGGCTGGCCACCGAGTGATTAAGGTGCGGGCACCCTCCCTGGGGTGCTCAAAGGCCCCTGAGCGGCAGAGGCAGGGCTCACACCGGGACAGGCCTCGGAGCCAGACCTTCACCCTGGCCAGGCAGCAGAGCACTGGCGAGGGGGCGAGCTCGGGCCCGGCCCCCGGTCAGTGCCCAGCCCCGGCCGCTGCCCACAGGCCTACCTGAAGTGGAGAGAGGAAGGCGGCAGGGACCAGCAGCTACCAGGACTGGAGCTGACCTTCGAGCAGATCTTCTTCATCAGCTACGCCCAGGCAGGAGCCGTGAAGCCCCTTCTCACCTGCCCCCAAAGTGGCCTCCCTCTCCTGTCTCTGGAGTCACCCATGGTGGGGGACACCGTGGGCGGGCGAGCCAGGCAGAACCGGAACTAGCTGACCCGGGAGGCTTCCAGAAGGGAAAGGCTGGGAGGGAGACCGAAGGCAAGGAGAGATGAGAGGCGGCCAGGAAGGACAGGGAGGGAACCTCTGGCTTCCAGTGTCCGCCCACTGCCCCCTCCCCGCCCTCCGGGCCAGGTCCCCACCTGCTGAGGTCTCTGCAGCCCTTCCTCCGAAGCCCAGCCCCTTGCTCCTCTCCCGCAGTCCGGAAGCCATGTCCCTCCTGTGCTCGCAGGTGTGGTGCGGGTCCTACCGGCCGGAGTTCGCGGTCCAGTCCATCAAGACTGATGTCCACAGCCCCCTAAAGTACAGGCAAGCGGTCCCCACGCCCTCGCAGCCCTGAGCCTCCACGCCTCCAGGTGGCGGCAACCTCAGCCCTCCCTCTGCCCGCAGGGTGCTGGGCTCCCTGCAGAACCTGGCCGCCTTCGCCAACGCGTTCCACTGTGCCCGCGGCACCCCCATGCACCCCCTGGTGCGGTGCCGTGTCTGGTAGCCAAGGCCAAGCTGCAGCCTGGCCCTCGCCCACCCGCGGTCCTAGGCACCCCCGCCGCCCCGAGACTGTGCGGCCGGTGGGGACCTGCCTGCGCCCCATGTGGGGCCTGGAGCAGAGGTCCCACCCCAGACACCCAGAGGTGAGGGAGCCCAGCCCCTCGCCCAGCTGCAGCGAGAGCACGGGCCACCCCCTCTCAGCGCTGCACGTGGATTTAACTCCCACTGAACACACATCGTCACCAAAAGTCCTCGAGCTTCAGACCTGAGCTGAGTAAACGCTTCAAAGAAGCCTCTGCCTCGTCCTTCCAGGCCGGGCAGGGGCGGGCGACCGAGTCGGGAGGGCGGGCGGGCGCTGGCTCTGTCCGCCCACCGCATCTGGTTCTGCCTCAACCGGCGGAGGAAACAGCAGGTGCTCTGGGGAGGGAGGGGCGCTCCGGACAAGCACCCCCACCCTAGGTCTTCGTGCAGGGGTCACAGCAGTGGTAAGGATGTCCCCAAATGGTGGCCCTTGGCCCTCAGGAACCACGCAGGCAGGAGAGCTACTAACAGGAAGAAGCTGAGGTCACAGGGGGCGGAGGGGACCCCGGAGCCACAGCCTGGAGCTGGGTTTGGGGTCTGTGGACCTGGGAGCCAGCAGAGTGACCGGGCTGCCAGCAGGCATCCTCGCCTGTCCCAAGCTTTTAATGACCACTGAGGGGGAGGGGGAGGGGCGGGGGAAGGACTGGGCCCTACAGGGAGCGGGCAGGGCAGGTAGAGAAGCCCCCAGGAGGCCACTGTGGTCATCGAGGCCCGGACCAGGGGTACACAGCGGGGAGACTGAGAAGGTCGTCCGGACCCACTCTGACCAGAGGACAGTGGAGGAGGGGGGCCTGGGAGTTGGGCCGCGCACCTATGAGTGGGAAGTGCCATCCTGCCCCTTAGGGTAGGCGCGGGGGTGGGGGGGGGAGTACCAAGTGGGCTGAAACCGCCCCACCATCTACCCCTGGCAGGGGCAAGTGACGGTTGTCACAGCGAGGTTCTTGCAGGCAGGCCAGCTCGTTCCGTCCACGTCTCCGACCGTCCCCCCAAACCCAGTAGGGACGGAGACCACCTTCTCCCAAGAAACCACGGGCTCCCACCAGACACAAGGACCGGCCCGACCCCTCCAGGCCGGGCTCCCGTGGGGTGGTCTTCAGGCCCTGGCACTCCTCTGCCGAAGGCCCGAGCTCGCTGGGGGGGCTGCAGTGACCTGCCCAGGAAAAAGGCTCCCCCGAAGCAGAACCGGCGGGCGAATGCCCCGTGCGGCCCGAGAGACCACCACAAAGGTGAAGGTGACCCCCTAGCGACCGTGAGCACCCCCAGCCCACGAAGGCGGTTTCTCAACACCCTTCCCCAGAAAAACAGCCAGAGCGGGTGGGAGGGGTGCTGGCCCTGGAACCGGGGCAGCCAGGACCCCGCCGGGAACGTCCGGGACACTCAGCACCAGAGTCGACAGGAATCATGGGTTGGAAGCCAAGGGACATGAAACCGTGAGGCCGGGTCTGTGTCAACACACGCGTGAGCGAGTGAACGCATGAGGGAGGCCCCTGGTCCAGGGAACTCCGCTGTCGGGGCGAGAAAACCAGTGGACGAACGCAGATGAGGAAGGGGCGCGCTCGCAGCCTCAGAGCCCCTCCTGCCAACACGCTCCGCGCCCTCCGCTCCCCAGGTTTCTCCGGAGGTCTGACGGAGTTACACACTCCCAAAGCATCATACCAACTTTTAATGGACAGTAAAAAAAAAAAATGAGACACACCTGGACTTGGAAACACCTTTCAAGGAGGTGCCTGCCGGCCCACCCTGCAGCTGAGGGGCATGGGGCGGGGCTGGCCCGTTAGGTACCAAGAGTGTCCCGTGGGGGCGTCCATACAGCACAGGGGTGAGGGGAGGGCTCAGGGCCCCTCACAAGAATGATGGGCAGGTGCTTGTGGTCCCCAGTGCCCCCGGGCTGCACAGGCGTCGTCTGCTGCCTGCCGTGGCTGGCTGCCCAGCACGGGGTCCCAGTGGCCCCGCACTTGGCCCTCGGGGGCTGGCAGCTGTCAGCAGGTGCTGGGGGTGGCTCAAGTGGCTGCACCCTGCAGCCACTGATGGTCACTTGGGTCTCCCTTAGGGAACATGGACGCTGTCTCCTCCACCGCCACCGTGGTGACATCTGGCAGGATCTGGGTGACCCCCTGGATTTGGACCGCGGCGGCACGGCCTTCTGCTTGCTGTCTGTTGCCCTGCAAGGTACCTTCAGCTGAAGACCCGGTGGCCGGCTCAGGCCCCCGTCCCGGACGCTCAGGGTCACCCCTTGGATGGCCAGCGGGAAGAGCTGGGGCCCCGCCCCCCACACCACCAGCGTGGACGAGCAGCGCTACCTGAGAAAGACACCGCTTGTGGGCCGACCCTCCTGCCAAAGAGAGACACGGCATCAGGGGGGAGCCACAGGGCCAGGGGACCGGGGGTCCTGGTTTTCGTCCCGCCCTCGCGGGACACAGAGCCTCTGGCAGGCGAGACCCATGCCGCCCAGGCTCCTGGCTCCCTGTCTCTGGGGGGGTCCACAGCAAGTGAAAGACAGGGCACCCTGCCCCTTCCCAGATGGGGGTCCCTAACTCAGCCCAATGTGGCCATCAGCCAGGGAGTCGGTTGAGCACAGAGGACTGGGGGCCCCGGGGCCAGGCACGAAAGGTCACCGCCCAGCGAGGGACCCTGGGGCCTCCCAGCCCACCCCGAGCTTCTCTGTCCCCTGAGGGCGGACGGGACACGGGCACCCATACTTGGGGACCCAAGGCGGTGTGGCACAGGGCTCCTTAGAGAAGCCGTCACGCCCTCCCTGCTTGTTCTCCGATTCGGAAAACAAAGCCAGGGACCTGCACCCGAGAGGACCAGCGGCTACTGCTCACCACACGGACGCTTTCTCACGAACACGAATACACCTGCCCCGAAGAGGATGAACAGGATGGACACCAGGAGGAGCCAAGGCACCAGGGAGGAGCACGTGGCGTCTGTGCTGTTGGTCCCAGGCTTGGCCTGCATCTGAAACGCCTGGCTGCACCTAGGGGAGGGGAGCGGCGGGGGTGTGGGGCGGCGGGCACGGCCCCTCCACGCACGCCAGAGCGCTCAGGCTGGAGAGGGAGCGGCTCTGGGGCCGCCCCAGGTCTGTCAGACCCCCCACGCCCACGAGGGTCCGGCAGCTGCGGGGAGGCGGGGTGGGGGTGTGGGAGGGAGGACAGGACAGCCCCGGGGAGCAGACACCCCACAGGAGAGAGAAACAGCAACGGAGATGACAGGGTGAAGATGCAAGACTGTCGAAGCCAGTGCCACCGACAAGGGGACAGACCTGAGAAGGGGACAAGGAGGGGCCAGGGGAAGGAAACAAACATACCTGGGGAGGAGGAGGGGAAGGGACGGGGTGGATGGAGACAAGGGGACAACCCGAGGGAGTAGGGACAAGAAGGAGAAGAGCAGGCTGGGGACAGAGGACCCCTGGTCCCCCCCGCCCCAGGCAGACACACCTGTTCACCCCAGCCTCCCCCCAGAGACTTGGGGCGTCCTGGGGCCCCGCCACAGGAGGCACGGCCCTCACTGTGGGCGCCCCTCCCACGCCTCCCCTGACACCGGGGCGGCAGGGAAGCCCCTAAACCTGACCTGGGGGACACCCCAGACCACAGGGTTTCGGGTCCCTGGGGGCAGCAGCCCCTGGGTTCCAGGCCCTAGAACATGCCGGTGTGGGAATCACCGGATTCAAGCGCACGGCAGGCACGGGCCCCGAGTCTGCTGGGGGAGGGCCCTGATCTCCCAGGGGAGCACCGAGAAGCCCCCTCCGAGGCCACCCCGAGGTCACCTACTGGGTCCAGGGCAGGCAGGCCGCCAGGGTCCCGTTGGGAGAGAAGGTGCCGGGCGGACAGTCCTCGCACACAGTGTCCCGGTGCTCGGTGCCTGAGGGAGGAGAGAGTCGGCGGGGGTTCCCCGGAGCCCTGGAGCCCGGGGTGGGGCCTGTCCCCGCCGCTGGGCCGTGGCTCACCTGCCTCCTGCACCCTCTGGCCTGGCTTGCAGACGCTGTGGGGCCTGCATTCAGCGCACTGGTCCGCGTCGGACACGCAGAAGTGGCCCCGGGCGCAGCCGCACAGGGTGTTGGCCGTGCTGGAGCACTTCTGCCTGATCACCAGGCCCATGTCTGCACCCGGAGAAGGAGCTCAGGGCAGCGGCAGGGTGTGCCGCGCAAGGCGGGCAGGCCCGGCCCCGAGGAAACCCAGCGGAGGGCTGGAGAGCGCCTGGGGGGGGGGGGATTGCTGCCTGGGCTCTAGGGGGGCGGTGGGGGCAGATAAGGACCCCAGGCACCTTGGCTCCCTGCAGAGACCTGGCCAGGCGTACCCCGGGCTCAGCCAGAACATACTCCTGGGAGGTCCCGCATAAAGAGCGTGAGCCCCGAAGCGGGGCCGTGGCCCACGGCAGGGGCGATGGCAGAAGGATCTCCTCAACAGGGTCCAGGGGTCTTGGGGAGACCGAGACCTCCCAGCCTGGTCTCCAGCAGAGTGGCAACCGGTTCCTGATGGGGCGCACCCCTCAGCCAGGTCCCCAGCCTGCTGCCAGGCTAGTCAGATGGCAGCCGCGGGACGGTGAGAGTTCCTGGGCCCAAGGTGAGGCTTGGGTGTCCTCCTGAGGGGCGTTGCTGTGCCCTCTGACCCCAGCTCAGCACTGTCAGGCATGCTCTTGAGGGGTCCATGGCTGCAGTGTGGGGTCCCCGCACCGCACTGAACCCCAAAGTGCTGTGGCCTCCACTCTTGTCCTGGCCTTCCTCTGGGGGCCAAGAAGAAGGCCCAGGGTCCAGTGCTCAGCCTGAGGGGGGACCCCAGGCTGGGTGTGCAGGTCTGGGGTCCTGAGAGCCTGCACCGTGGGGCGAGGAGGCCCGCGGTGCCCAGGCCCACGGGTAGCGGTTTGCCCCAGGCTGGGGGCCCTTGGGAGGGGACAGGGCCCCTGAGTTCTGGAGGGCCGGGGTGATGGGATGGCAGGGGCAGGGCCACCGGCCCCCCTCGGGAAGGACGCAGGTGTGGCCCCGGGGCTGAGGGTCCCCTGAAAGACCCCCAGCAGGGAGCACTCCCGGGAGATGGGGGTGGGCTGGCCCTGGGCCAGCAGGATTCAGGGGCTCCGCACGGCGGTGGCCAGCCTCACGTTCTCACCTGGGTCACAGACACGACACTGTAGACACTCGTTCAGGCCATTGAGGTGGGCAGTGAAGGTCCCCTCAGTGCAGGCTGCACACAGCGTGGTCCTGGAACCCCTACAGGCCTCCTTCACCCGGTAACCTGCAGCCCAGAGAGGCCCCGCGCTGAGGAGGGGGTGGGGACGGCCCTCGGGGCCCGGCAGGTGGGACACTCCCACAGGGGCTCCCGGGCCACTGGCTGCTTCCCTGGGGCGCAGTGAGTCGGGGTGGGGAGGAGAGAGCAGGCTCTGCGAGAATGTAAGCCTGCCTTGGACTCCGGGGCCCAGCTCTGAGACCCAGTGCACTGGCCCAGCGTGGGCGGGCCGCTCCCAGGCCGTGCCCCCTGTGCCACCAGCCCCCCTCTCTGCCCTTCCAGGGTCTTCGTGCCTCCCACGATGCTGGGTGCTGGGAACAGAGGGGTTCCAGCCAGGGGTGGGGTGCGAATGTCTGCCCCTGTGCCAAAGCAGCCCTCACACAGGGTTCCCCCCCCCGCAGGGCTGCACTCACCTGGGCGGCACTTGGGGCAACAGTAGTCCCCCACCGGGTACTCGTCCAGTTTGCACGAGGTCATCGCCCGGGCACAGGGGGGGCATCCCAGGAAAACAAGCACCAGGGTCTGCAGGAGACGGACAGGGCACTGCAGCGGAGGTGCTGCCTGGGCTGCGGGGGCCTCAGCCTCACCCTCAGGGACACAGGCTCAGGGAGCTGCCCATCGTGGTCCATGGGCGGCCCTAAGAGCTGGGGTGAGCCGCCCCGACTCTGGCCTCTGCTCCTCTGCTCACTAGGGTGGGCACCTCACCCTCCCCCTCCCCGGAGGACGGTCAGAGCTGCTCCAGCCCAAATGACCTCCAGGCCTCCCCCAGGCCTGCCTGTGCTGGACGCAAGGGACCCTGGGAGCAGAGCAGGATGCAAGCTGTCCTCAGCCTCAGCAATGAGGGGGTCATCCTGTCCTGAGGGGTGACCACGGGGCTGACCCAGAAACCACACAAAGGAGGCAGCAGCCTCCTTGCCCACTGTGCAAACAGCTGCCCAGTGTGCAAACATCTGCCCACTGTGCAAACAGCTGCCCAGTGTGCAAACATCTGCCCACTGTGCAAATAGCTGGTCAGGCCCAGGTGGCAGGCTGCAGGTGTCCCGCTGTGTCTCCAGCAGGGGGCGTGCGAGAGGCAACCTGTTGTTTATCTCCCACCTCCAAGTTCCTGTCCCTCTCTCCCCCCCCCTCTAAAAATGAATACAAATCTTTAAAAGAAAACATTCCAATTCATCTCCCCAGAAGCCACGCAGACCAGGGGGCAGCGCGCTCACCACGCAGGTGGGCTAACGCTCGGCTTTATCTCCTGGGACCTGACCGCCGGCCTTGGGCAAAGATCGGCCCCCCAGGGCTCCTGCCCAGACACTCACAGAGTGCCAGCGGGCTCGCCCCGCGGAGGGCTGGGGGGCTGTCCTTTAGCGCCTGAGTAAGGGGGTGGGGGGGTGGATATCTGCAGAGGAAAGTTCCTGGGAGGGAACATATGGCTTTGCTGCCTGTCCCCCCAGCCCTGGGGGGTCAGGGAACTGAGCGTCAGAAGCAGGGACAGCCCAAGAGAGGTGGGCTGCTGGGGGACACTGTCCCGCGTGTGACAGGGCTCAGCGAGGGAGCAGGGACAGGGCTCCAGGCAGGCGCTGAGGCCAGCAGGACAGGAGGGTGGCTCGGGGTGACTCACAAGACTCAGGGCATCGACCGTGGGCTCCAGGCTCCAGCGGGGTGGCTCCCAGGCTTGTAGAGGCTCCATGTCCCTCCTTAAGACCCCTCATTCCCCGCCATCAGTCTGGGGACCCCTGCCAACAGAACCGACACCATGATCTTCCTTCTTCCCGCTGCTCCGTCGTGTCAAAGCGAAAGCGAAAGCAATCAACCTCCCGCTCACAGTTTCCTCCTTAGTCTATGTAAATGCCCAGTAAACCCTCAACCCTCTGGGTCCAGGCCCCCGGGGGGTGTCGGGCTGCAATTCAGTGGGGGCTGGGCTCTCAGGACAAAGGGAGTGTGTGTGAGGAAGGGAGTGGGGCAGGGAGGCAGGGGGCAGGGACGGGCAGGGGTGGGGGTAGAGAGGGGAGCTGGGACGGGGTAGGGGTGGGACCAGCACAGCCGCCCTCCTCATGCGCCCGCCCCCAAGTCCAGAGCCTGGTAGAGAAGTGCCCCCAGCCCCTCTCCTGTCCGTGTGCAGCCCCCCCCCCAGTCTCCGGCAGAAGCGGGTGCCCCCAAAGCACATCTGCATGTCCCCTGTCGCTCTCCACCCCAAAGTGCTGATCCACAGCCTCCCCACTGGCCGCAGTCCCCCCTACTTCCTGTTCACCTCTGCCCGGGGCCACCGGGCCCTGTCCACGGCTGCTCAGGTCTCACGTGGGCACTCTCCCCAAACCTGGAGCCTGGGGCCCCCACCAGGGGAGGCACACTGTGTCACCCCGGAGCGCCTGGCGCCCCCACCGTGTCCGTCCCCACTGCCACCTGTCCCTGGAGGGGCTGGGGCCGGGTCCAGAACTGGGGCACATTTACACGACGGGACGCCACACACGCAGCAGGAAGAACGAGAAGGAGCTCCTACCCTCCGTGACGGCACGGATGGACCCGGAGAGCATCGCGCTGAGTGAAATAAGCCAGGGTGTGAAAACAAACACCACATGACCTCACCTTTAGCAAGAATCTAATCAACAGAACAGACAAGCAAGCAAAATAGAACCAGACATTGAAATTAGGAACAAACCGACAGTGAGCAGAGGGGGAGGGGAGGGGGATAATGGGGGAAGGAAGGGGAAGGGTCGTCAGGAACAACTATTGAGGACCCACGGACAAAGCCCAAGAAGGGTAGGACTGACTGACCGAGGGAGGGGCGGGGGGCGTCAGGGGGAAGTGGAGACAGCTGTTCTTGAACAACAACAAAAGAAGAGGGAAGGACAGAGGCCTGGCCCAGACCCTCCCTGAGCGCAGCCGACTCCGCGTCTCCGAGGGGATGTCCCCTCCCAGCCTCCCAGCACCAGGGCCGCCCCCAGAGCTGGGCATGTGTGGGCAGGCCTGGGGCGGGAGACCCCCGCACACCCAGGAGGCATGCTGAAGTTTCCAGAGAGGCAGCCCAGCCCCCACCCCCGGTGTCCCCATGGGGACTGACCCCAGCCCCTCAGCTGCCACGTCACACCTGTGTCCCTGGCTCATGTGCCTCCTTCATCTGCGAGGCTGCAAAACGTGGTGGCTCTGGTCTAATCAGACCAGACCAGCCCTGGATGCGGGTGCCTGCTCCACAGGCTCAGGGAGGCTGCTATCAGGCCCTGGCCAGGCCCGGGCGCTGCCCTTCCTGCAGCAGGGGACTGGACGCCCAGCCCAGGCTGAGCTGGGGCCCCTCCTGGGACCAAGGTCCTCAGAGTTGCTACTTAATTTCGTATCTGGAGACCCTGGCAAGGGGAGCCTGGGTGCGTCAATGGGGGCGGCGGGGCCACGCGTCCCACTGGCAGAGCCGTGAGTGCTCAGAGGCCGGGTCCACCGCTGGCCACCACCCCCTAGGACAGCCACCCAGACCCCAGTGCTCAGAGGCCCGGTGGGAGTCGGGTGGGCCCCAGGGCCTTGGGAGCACCCACAAGCATCCCAGCAGCACAGGTTCCCGTCCCCATCCTGAGGGCCTGGTGGAGGGCCACCCCCATTTCTCTGCCCGCAGGTCAACGGGGTTTCCAGCAAAGGGCAAGGGGGCCCTGTCTGCACATCCCTGGAGCCCCACGTCGCCCAAGGGAGTGCTCTGCAATGATCCTGAAACCCAGCAGCACACGGCGGCCCTGGGGCTCCCTACAGGGGCCCAGAACCGGCTCGGGGGTGCTGGGACCCCCCACCACCCCCTGCCAGGCCCCCACTCGCCTCCCAACTCCTGGGGTGCTGGTCAGGTGGGCAGGCCAGAGGGTTCCGGAGGGGGAGGGCCTCCTCCCTCCCCCAGCAACCCTCCCCCAGCAAGGCCCCACACCCAGTGAGTCTCAGCCCACCCCTCCTGCCAGGCACCCCTCAAAGGCCATTCTGTGCACCCCGCCCTGGTCAGGCGGGGAAACTGAGGCAGGGCCAGCAGCAGATCTTACCCACAGGCACCAGTGGACATCGTCCCGAATGGAGGGCGGCAGAGCTGACTCCTCCTGGCCTCCCCGTGCCCACCCTCCCCCCCACCACACCCTGACATCAAGCCTCAAGGGTGTGAGTGCTGGGGCCTAGAGCCAGGCCTCACTGGGGAGCGAGGGGTGGCCCCCCAGAATGCACTCGGTGCCGGGCCTTTGCTGAAGCCCCGCCTCCTCTGGGAGGCCTTCTCTGATCGCTGGGTGTGGCGCCTTGACCTGTCTCCGCCCTCTCAGCCAGCTCTCCCTTCCCTCCTGCGTCTGTTATCTGTGGGGCCCCTACCGGGCAGACAGTGGGGGGGAGGAGTTTTGTGTCCCTGGGAGCAGGAAGAAGACCTGGGTTCAGATCTCTGCACAAGCCGTTCATTCATGCACTCACTCACTCATTCATTCACTCAGTGATTCATTCACTCACTCACTCATTCATTCACTCACTCATTCATATACTCATTCACTCACTCACTCACTCACTCATTCATACACTCACTCATTCACTCATTCACTCACTCACTCATTTACTCATTCACCCGCTCATTCACTCATTCACTCACTCATTCACTCACTCACTCATTCATTCACTCATTCATTCACTCACTCACTCATTCACTCGCTCACTCACTCATTCACTCGCTCCCTCCCTCACTTACTCATTCACTCGCTCCCTCACTCACTCACTCATTCACTCGCTCCCTCACTCACTCACTCAGTCACTCATTCATTCACTCACTCACTCATTCACTCACTCGCTCCCTCACTCACTCACTCACTCACTCATTCACTTACTCACTCACTCACTCATTCACCCGCTCGCTCACTCATTTACTCATTCACTCACTCACTCATTCACTCACCCACTCGTTCCCTCATTTGCTGGTTTGCTCACTCAGCAGGTGTCCTCTCCGCCTAGGCCTTGATCTGGGCCAGGCTCACCAGTGACAGAATGAGGCAGAGGCAGCTGGGGCCATTGCTGGTGACACTGCCACATTCCTCAGCGTGGACCCCCAGGCAGGGCAGGAGCGGGGAGTGCCCCCAGAGGGCTCCACGCCTCTCTGAAGCTGCATGGGGCTCCCGCTCCCCATCTTTCCCTGGGGGTGGCGGTGGAGCCCACGCTCCAGGGCCTCTGCTTCCAGTGCCCCCTGTGATGTGGGCATGGGGACCCCGGGAACCTCTTCTCCTCTCCTGACCCAACCATCTGTGCCCAGAGGCTCCGGGGGCTTCAGAGGGCCTCCGGCGCCCACCTCCCACCAGTGCACAGGGGAAACTGAAGCCATGCTTTGCCGGGGTCAAAAGCCTGCCCTCTGAGGCTGGGTGTCCAGGCCCCAGCGCTGGCGCAGCTGGAGAAGCACCCCCAGAGGGCGGGGCCTCCAGCCCCTCCTCATCCTCCCCCTCTGGCACCCCCAGCATGGAGCCTGCCCCTCTGGCCCCCCATCTCCACCGTCCGGGTGCGGTCAGGCCTGGAACTCAGATCCTCGAGTCTGGGCTTCACAGGCCTGAGCACTGATCTCACCTCGGACGGAGCTCGGGGGCAGGGCCTCGACCCACAGAAGGGTCGCGCCCCAGGTTGCCACTGGGGCAGCTTCTTGAGAGGCCCTGGGGCGGGAGCGGGGCTGCAGAATGAGGATGAGGTCAGCGGTCCCCTGACGGTCACGGGACCAGGACAGGCAGCTGCGGTGGTCACAAGATGTCACCCATGCCACTGTTTCCCTTTTCACACAGAGGGCCTGGAGAACAATTCTTGTGCAAGCATTCTGGTTCCCATTTAACTGAAGAGCGACTTTTCCGGCAGAGCATCACATGAAGGAAGGGCGTTTTGTAACACCGTCTTACTACAGAATGTCACCGAGAGCAAGCTGCCACCGCAGGCCTCTCCGGCCAACACAGGGCCCGCTGGCGCCCCCTACTGTCTCACAGGCAGCAGCTGGGGGCCTTTTCCAGCTGTGAACCGACTGCCTTAGCCCCTCTTCCGGCACCTCCTGCGGGCCCCCCCAGCCTGCCCCCTCAGGCCCGGCCCCCGAGGCCCAGCCACACCACCCCCTTTGTGTCCCGGGGGTTCCGACTCTCCTTCCTTCCTCCATCTCGGAGCCCCACACACCGTTCTTCCTGGCCACCACCCTTCCAACGGCTCCCGTGGTCCCCGTGACAGGGCAGCTGGTGCCCACCCCACGTTCGCGGTGCCGGGCCCTGGCCTGGACTTACAGCCCGCGGCCTCCACTGGAGCTGCTGCCTCCTGTGTCTCGGCTCAAGAGGAGGGTTCCAGAAGACTGCGCGGTCCAGGGCTCCCCTGGCCTCTGAGCAGGGCTGGCACCCAGGGAGGGCCTGCGGCTGCCGCCGGAGCAGGGGAGGGAGTCTGGGAACGGGAGGGGGAGGGGAAGCAGCGGGGCCGGCCCAGAGAGAGGAAGACAAGGCGGGCAGAGCCTCAGAAGACCTGGGAGGGAGGCCTAAGGAAGAAGTGTCCCGCGGGTGGAGGCGGGCACACAGTAGGCCCAACAGGCCGGAGGCCGGCAAAGTGAGCCAGTCCCCTGACTGCGGAGAGTGGGAGGGGCGGGCCGGGGCGGGCAGCCCTTCCTGGAAGGCACTTGGGAAGTGAAGCCGGAGTGAGTGTCTGCGGTCACCGGCCAGTTCACCCAGGGACGACCCGGGAAGTCGCAAGAGGAGGGCGCGCTGTGAACGCACTCACCTGAGTGTCTGGGGACGCGGTGTCTCTCCGGGAACAGAGGGTGCCGGAAACAACCTAGGACTTCATCAGCTGGGAATCGGTTCCCTCCAGCCCGGATGGAGCAGCACCGCCTGGACTCCGCCCTCCGTCACTAAGGCCAGGAACTGAAAGACTGTGAGCCGGCCTTTTTCAGAGATATGGCAACACAGACCTCTGGGACCCTGGGAGCAGGGCAACAGCTGAGGCTGCCGGACGGGGTCGGTCCAGCTCGGCGGCACCGAGATGCAGCTGCGGGGGGGGGGGGGGGGGGCAGAGAGGGGTGACACAGAGGTCGGGGTGCGCGACGGTGGCCGCAGACGGGAACCAGAGGCCGACTTCCAGTGGAGAGGAAGCTGTACGGACAGACGGACGGCTCCAGAAGTCTGCAGAAGGCTAACTCTGCAACTGTGTTCACCGGAAAATTGAACCTTGCATCTCAGCACCGAACTCAAAGCGCCAGAGAGCGAGCAGGCGGGGCCTCCGGGCCGGGCCGGGAGGCAGCTGGGGGCTGAGCAGCCAGGGGCGGGAGTCCTCACGGGCCACTTGGGCGTCCCGCAGACACCAGGGGCCACGCCTGGTCAGCAGGACTCCGCTGCGTCCGAGGGAAGGCTTGTCCAGATCTGTCCTGACCAAGCTCAGAAACAAGCCCCCAGAGGGTCGCAGCGCCCCCATGCAACTGAGCTGCAACCCTCAGAAGAATGACTCAAAGGAAGAACATCCGGAGGGTTGAGGAGGTGAAGACACGGTGCCCAGCACCCCGTCAAAACCACCGGTCGGCCACGAAGCCGGGAAACGCGACCCTGAGAAGCCAGCCCGGAGAAACAGGACAGCAACGGTGCGGTCACCAGAGAAGGACCCAGACGAGTCCCATCAAAACCCCTTTTGAAGAAAAAACATATAAACAGGAGAAAAAGGGAAGACAGGGGAAAGACGCAAATGGAACGTTGTGAAGTCCCAGCTGGAAAACAGGCGGCTCGGGTGACCGGGTGGGACCAGCTACCTCCACAAAGAACCACCGACGCCTCTCGCTCCGCGGTTCCTCGGGCTGAAGTCCAAGACCAGGGTGTCGGCAGGGCTGGCGTTCCTGGGCCTCCTCCGTGGGCTGCAGGTGGCGCCCTACTTGCTGCGTCCTCGCTCGGGCCCCTCGTCTGTGCGTGGTTCACATCCCTGGTGTCACTGGGGTCCACACTCCTGTTCTTCACAGATGCCGGTCGCAGTGGGTTAAAGCCCACCCGTATGACCTCACTGGAACGTACTCACCTCTTTCGACGCCCTACCTCCAAACGCAGTCACGTGCTAAGGTCCTGGGGCTCAGGGTTTCAAATGTGAACCTGTTGCCCCCAAGCAGGCGACACACTTCAGCCGTAAAGGCAGGATTAACGACAGGTTAGTTGCTCTAATGAGGTGTCAGTGACCTTGAAGGTGTAGTGATAGAAATGGTCCTAAATGGGGGTCCGAGAGAAAGAAGAACGAAGAAAAGTGAACAGGGTCTCAAAGGCCCCAGTGACTGCCACGCTGTGTAACACAGATGCGATTGGACGTTTACTTTCTTTTTTTTTTAAGATTTTATTTATCTTTAGAGGGGAAGGGAAGGAGAGAGGGAGAGAAATAGCAATGTGTGGTTGCCTCGCGTGCGTCCCCTGCTGGGAACTGGCCTGCAACCCAGGCAAGTGCCCTCACTGGGAATCAAACCACAGTTGTTTGGTTTGCAGGCCCGTGCCCAATCCACTGAGCTACACCAGCCAGGGCTTGGATGGTTATTTTTAAAGAGAGAGCGCGAAAGACAAGAACAGAAAAGATATTCGAAGGAGTAATAGAGGAAATTTCTCTAGATTTGAAGAAACTATAAACCCACAAATGCAAGGAGACCAACAGACCCCAGGAAAAATAAGCAGGGAGGAGGGTGGGGTGAGGAGACTCAGAGCCGAGTTCCTGGCAAACAGCGGTGGGGACAGTCCTCCCTCGTCGGACAAAGGGGCAAGGGCGGGGCTCCTGGGGGGCTTGGCCTGGACTTCTGCAAGCCGGAAGCCATTGGAGAGCAGTTACGCAACGCTGAAGGAAAATTTCAGCTCAGAACCCCATACACAATGAAACTATTTGTCCAAAGTGAAAGCAAAATAAAGACCAAGGACTCGATTTCACGATTTCAAACAAAGGCTTAGATAATTTCTCACAACAAGACTTGGACGGCGTGAAACGTGAACAGACTTTCTTCAAACTCCAGGAAATCGGTGCCAGGAGGAAACTTATCTCCACTCAAAGGAACGCAAAGTGAAAGAAGTGGTAAGTACGTGAGTAAACATGAGTCATCTCTTTCTTACTTTAAACACTTATTTTGAAACCAATACAATGCTTAAAGCAAAAATAATCCTGTATGGTGATGTTAACAGTGTGCAGAAGCAAAATCTGTGGGAGTTGACCACCTGGTTGTACGCTGGCGGCCCCTCTCTGCGTGGAGACGGCCTACGATGGTTCGGAGGGGTGTCCGTTGGGGTCCCCATGGCAACACGAAAGAGGTGGAGCAAATACGCACAGCTAATAAGCCCGTAGTGCAGGTGAAACAAAATACTAGAAAAATATACTCGAGAATAAGGCAGGAAAAGAGGACACAAGGAGCAGAGAAGAGCCAATAACAAGCAAGATGATCGACCCAAATCCAGCCATATAGAAAATTACACGGGAGGTAAATTGTCTAAACACCCCCAGTAAATGCGCAAACTGTCATCTGGATACAAAACCAAGACCCAGCTGTGTGGGGAGACCTCAAGGAACAGACTTACATCAAGATACAAGTAGGTTAAAAGTAAATGATAGGGGTTGGGAATGACTAGAGTCCAGGGACATGGGACCTGCACAAAAAAGAGCCCCCCGAGTCTGCAGAGGCGTCTAGAAACCCCACGGCTAAGTCGTGGCGAAGACTGTGTGCTTCCCCCCAAGGCCAGAGCAATAGAGGATGCCCGCTCGCACCACCTCCACCCGGCATTGTCTGCAGGTCATGGGGCAGCGCAACAATGTAACAGTGTTTCCAACGGCGGGGGGGGGGGGGGGGGGGGGGGGTGGAGGCTGGAACCCCGCCCGCACCATTCTTCTGACATTGTTTCTGTAAGTGCAACATTGTTTCTGTAAGTGCCAACTCTGACTAATGTGTAGCTTACACAGGAGCAGCATGTTCTACAAAAACCCAGGAAACGGACTTCAAAAGGTGCGGACACCCACCTTCAGGTGTCCTGGCTCCAGGGGAAGCACCGACCTTCAACTGTGGAGCCGGGCGACTAAACCGGGATGACACACACAGGACTGTCACCTGCCTTGGTGCAAAGGACCGTGCCCGTCTGCACATCGAGAACTTCGCAAACCCTCCCCCAATCTGTCTCTTCTGTGCCCCCTCCCTCCTTATAAACACCTCTGCCACACTGAGAGCGGGGATGGTCCTCTCTGCAGGTCAGCCCCTGTCTCCAGAGGACTGGCTTTTTGTAGCCACAGGCACCTGGACCTGCATTTCCATTACAACAAAGCAAGAAAAAGAAATAGAAGGAGTAGAGATTGGAAAGAAAGGAGAAACGATTCTTTGTGGACAACGTGGCCCTGTGTATAAAAGTCCTCAGAACTGTACTAAAACACTGTGTGAACTACGAAATTTATGTAGCAGGGCCATGGGACAGAAGGTCAATATTTTTAAACACAGGGACAGGAATCGGCAATTTAGAAAAGCGAGCACACCGTGTGAAAAACCGTGAAACGCTCGGAGGCGAACGCTCGGAGGCGAACGCTCGGGCCAACGGCCCCGCAGGACCGCACACGGGGGGGGGGGGGCGCGGCGCACACCCTCCGGAAGCTGGGGGCCCGGTTCTGGTAAAACGCCATTATCCCCACATCCGTCTGCAGAACCAGCGTGGTCCCGACCAAAATTCCAGCAGGCTTGTTTGTAGAAACTGACAAGGTGATTTTTTTAATAGTTTTTAAAGACTTAATTCGTTTATTTTTAAAGAGAGAGGAAGGGAGGGAGAAAGAGGAGAGGAGAGACATCTGCTGGTTGCCTCTCGCACACCCTCAGCCGGGGACCCGGCCCCGAAACCCAGGCACCTGCCCTGACGGGAGTCGAGCCTGAGACCTTTCGCTTTGCGGAACGACGCCCAACCCACTGATCCCCACCATTCAAGGCAAGACGGTTTTTCTAAATTTACATGAAATAGAAGGACTGGTTATGGCCCAACTTCATTCTGAAGAAGGAGAGCGAAATGGGAGGACTTCCACCGGGGGACTTAGAGCGTCGAGGACACACCGACCAGGCCTAAACTCAGAGAAAACACAGTGACTGTCAGGGCGCAGCCCCTAAACCCCAGCTGCCCTGCCTCGTATGGGGGCTTCTGCCCCTCTCGTCACCCACACAGCTGCAGCCGCTCCACGCGGGGACCAAGCTCCCCGCCACGGGCTTACCCCACTCCCGACAGCCTGGTCCCCCAGCACCCCCCCGACCCACGGTGCCTGTCCATCACCAGGACCCCTGGACCTGTGGTGCTGCCCCCGAGATGGGTGACCACCCTGGCTTCACAGATGCGGGTGTGTCCTGGCTGCAGGGCATCAGCGGTAGGTAGTTCGGGGACTTCAGGTGAGGTCACTGGGAGGTGACTTGCAAACAGACCTGGGACCTCCCCCCAGGCACAGGCAGGGACACGCACACCCCAGCCAGGAGGCCAGGGCGGCCCGAGGACGTGAAAAGGGACAGAGAGGCTCAGCCTGTGATGGGGGGGGGGGGGACATCACAAACCAGCTTCCACTTTCTGACTGATTCACCTTTGTGTGTTGTGGGGGTTTTATAGCAGCATATTTTACTTTTATAAGAAAAGGGCTAATCCAGAAATGCATTAATATTCTCTGCTGGTAAAGGCTGAGCCACGGGGCCAGCCCCAGGGGACCCCATGATTTCCCCAGAAGGCACTTCAGCCGTTCCTGTCTGATGCAAGCCCTGTCCCCACTTCCTCTCCGGGTCCCCTGTGTCCTGCTGCTCCCCCCTCAGCCCTGGGCCGCCTCTCAGAAATGAGTCAGGCCCAGCTCCTGCGCCCAGGGCCCCCTGCTGGACCAGTACCCCCTTGCTCCCAGCAACCGGACCCACAGCGCCCGAGTGCCCACGCGTGGGCGTGCCACAGGCGACGTCTACAGACCGTGGGTGGCGTGCACCTGAAGCCAGGGTGAGGCCGCGCCACCTGACACCAGCTGGTGCACCTGGAGGACACCGCGGGGAGTGAAATCAGCCAGACAGGAGGGGGCGGGCCCTGTGGGACGCTCTCCCAGGAGGCCCCTGGAGGGGCAGGTCCACGGAGACAGGACCGACTGGGGCGGGGGGCGGGTGGAGAATGCGGGGCCAGTGTCAGTGGGGCCGGGGTTTCAGTTGGGGAAGACGAGGAAGTTCCGGGAAGGGCTGCGCGGCCGCTGGAGTGGGCTCGGGGCCGCACTCAGGCAGTTAAGGTGGTCCGTCCGCTACGTGGGTTGTATCACAATTTTTAAAAAAGATTTTACTGCTCTGGCTGGTGTAGCTCAGTGGATTGAGCACGGGGCTGTGAACCAAAAGATTGCGGTTCAATTCCCAGTCAGGGCACGTGCCTGGGTTGCAGGCCAGTTCCCAGCAGGGAACACAGGAGAGGCAACCGCACATTGGTATTTCTCTCCCTCTCTCCTTCCCTTCTAAAGATATAGATAGTAGATAGATAGATAGAGAAAGATTTTACTTATTTTTAGAGAGGGGAAGGTAGAGAGAAACATCAGTTGCCTCTCTTGTGCCCCCTACTGGGGGCCTGGCTCGCAACCTGCCTGTGCCCTGGCCTGGAATCCAACCAGTGACCTTTTGCCTTAGGGGACGGCACCCAACCCACAGAGTCACACCAGTCAAGGCAAGTTTTACTCACTCTGTTTAACAGACAGCTGGGGGTGGCGGGACCCTTGTGGTGATGGGACACTTGCTGTCTTGGGCAGGGGCCGGGCCAGGGCCCCTGGGAAGCTGCAGAAGGGCGCCCAGGGCCTTTCTGGGCTGTTTCTTACAGGGACCTATGAACTGTCTCAGGAGAAAACAAAAGCTCAACTGGAAATGACAGGAGGAGCACCGGGAACTGGCGTTTCGCACGTGGCTGCAAGGTGGCGGCCCGCCAGAGCGCCAGGCCTGCCGGGTAAAGGCGGTTCGGGCCACACCAAAAGGCAAGGGGTCCCTCGGGCCACCCACAGGCCCCCTGGGGCTCAGGACGGCTGTGAGTGTGGCCAACGCCGAACCGAAAACTTACTTAGAACACCACCAGACTGTTCTGTGATTATGTGGCGTGGTGTATTAAACGTGTGGCCCAAGACGGCCCTTCTTCTTGCAGTGCGGCCTAGAGCAGCCGAAAGGCCGGCGCCCCTGGGACTTTATGAGCAGCAGTTCGAGTGCTGGACTCGCCGTCAGACTCGGGAGGCGCCGCAGGCCCTGGGAGCCCTCCCCCCAGGACGGAGAAGATGCTGCGTGCCCTCCGCCACCCTGTCCTGAGTAGGGCGGTGGCTGCCACCCGGGCCTCCCTCCGCCCACGCCGCTCCTGCCCCACGCAGCCATCCCGGGGGGAGCCTCCCCCCTCTGCCCTCGCTGGCCTGGCCGGGAGATGCCAAGCTGACCAGGTAACGAGATCCCTAAGTGTGACGGGGGGCTCGGAGGGGCACCACTAATGAGGGTGGCCCCGAACCCCAGGAACAGCAGCGGCACTAACAAGGTGGGCCACAGGCTGCTGGGGTCACCGCCCTCCGAACTGTCCCTGTCTCTGGTCTGACTCTGTGCTTCCCCAGAAGGTAACTTCCCGGCAGGGTCTCAGCATTTCCGCAGCTGCTTTCCCGACTGTAGCCACCCACACCTGGGCATTCCCCCCACCCGGGCCCATGTGGCTGGGACGGGCCTGAGGTGGCCCCTGCTGGCCACCAGGGGGCAGCAAACCCAAGACCCTGTGCTCTCCTCTCTCCGGGCCTGTGTGTGGCCTGCACAAGGTCAGGGAGGGGTGGGGTTTGGGGGTCCCTTTACAATTGGGCCCCCCCCCCCGGGGCCCCAGACAGAAGCAGGTTGCTCCCTCGCCAGTCCTGGTTTAGTGAGGCACGCTGCTGGGCTCCAGACCAAGGGGCCTCTCAATCTGAGGCCTCATCGAAAAAATGCTTGTCTGGGGGAGTCTACTGGGGTGAGATTTGGGGGACCAGGAAGAGCAGTGTGGGGGAGCCACTCCTTGCTCTGTTCAGTCCACACTGAGCAGTCCCAGCAGGGGCTAGGAGGGGCCACAGAGGCCCTGGCCTGACCCCACTGCCCAGGGGCACCAGCCCAGCCCTGCCTCTGTGCGTCCTTGGCGCATCCCTGAGGCTGCGGTTCCTCCGCTGTGAACCGAGGACCCCAGAGCCCAGGGCAGGGCTGGCCGCCATGGAGGCCCCCCTGGTGGCCTGTCTTGGCCCTCCTGAGGGCTTCCCTGTCGTTGGGGACCAGGAGACTGGGCCGTGACCAGAAAAGAGGGCCGGGGTCCAGACCTTGTCATAGGGCCCCATTTGTACCCTGGGCAGGGACCCTGAATCTCAGAGGTGGCAGCCAGCCGTGGGGGTGGGGGGCGGGGGCTGTGGGCAGTGGCGGAGACGCCGACCAGCACCTTCATCCCAGCCCCACGGGGGTCCCGCTCTGAGGCCCACACAGCTCGTGCCCCCCACACATCCATCCCTGATGGATCCGCCTATATCACCCTGGGCGCCACTGAGGCCCCGCAGCCCCCCCGGGGTCCAGCACTCGGCCATGTCTGTCAGAAGCTCAGCGTCCCCCTGCCCTTTCCTAGCCTGGCAGGGGCAAGACCCCGCTGTGGGCCTGGCCGCTCGCTCTGCTCGGGGGGCCGCCTCAACCATCAACAGCCTTTGTAACTCACAAAACCCTTGCCCCCGGGACCCCTCCTTCAAGGTGAAGATGTGGGGGCGACACCTGTCCACAGGCTGGACTTCTGGGCCTTGGCCCTGAGCTGGGCGTGAAATGGGGGGCAAACAAAGTCCCTAAGGCAGGAGGTCCAGGGTCCAGGCCCGGCAAGGTCGCCACCAGGGCTGCCACCCAAGTCCCGGTGGGTGGGGGCCGGGGGCTTGCTACTGTGTGGCAGCAGAAGGTGGTCTTCAGGCAGCTGGGCCCGGGTCTCCATCACCACTGGGTGTGCAGGGAGAGCTCCGCCTTCCGGAAGTCCCTCTGAGGTGCTCTGGTGGGGGGTCGTCGGTGGTCAGGGCTGCAGAGACAGAGAGGAGCGGGTAGGGGGGCTTCACCAGGCAGCCGAGAGCCGAGGGCCGAGGGTGGAGAGCGACCCCCGAGGGACACCCACGCCCACCACCCGCCTGGCCTGGCGCAGTGCTCACCCGGAAGAGTGCCACCTCCATCTCCACAATGTCCTGTTCCCAGCTCAGAGCTGGGCTGGCACCCTGAGAACTCCCAAGACGGGAGGAGGAGCAGAGACGTGGCGGGGGCATCCGCCCAGACCCAGCCCGGACCCCCACCTGCAACCTGCGTGGCTGCTGCCGCTGCTGCTGCTTCGATCCGTCTCTACTCAGGGGTTGGTGGGGGGATGAACCTGGGACCAAGCTGGGCGCCCGGCCCGAGAGCGCAGCCCGGAGGGTGGCCAGGGAGCGTGGGGTAGTGGCCGGGCCTTTATGCAGCCCCAGGCGGTGGGGCCGGGGGAGCGGGCGCTTTCCCACGCACAGCAGCCAATCTGCGGCCCGGGCTGGACAAAGAGCGGCCCCCTGGCAGGCGCCGCGGGGCTGGGATGAAGATGCGCCCGCGCCCCCGGCAGGTGGGGGGCCGGGGACGAGTGGGGTCATCGGCTGGAATGTGCCCTGCCCCTGAGTTCTGCTCTCAGACCCCCCCCAGTGCAGAGGCGGGAGGAAACAGCCGTTCCTGCCCCCAGGCATCCAGTTCCTCTAGGCCGGGGGTGTCTGGCTCCTTTTCACTGGGGGTCCCGTCAGCCTCGTGGTGGCCTTCAAAGGGCTGAGTGTGACTGTAGGACTGTGTAAATGTAACCACTCCTCAACCAGGGGCAAGGAGCTCGGCGCTGCCACGGGGTAGAAACAAGGTGCCAGGCCGGATAAAACAAGGTGGAGGGCCTTGCATTTGCCACCTGTGCTCTGGGCACAGGACGCCCGTCCCCACTGGGCCACCCCTGGTCCCCCCATGGGCCTCTCGAGGTCCTCACACTGACCGGTGCTCCCCCCGACCCAGGGAGCTCTCCCAGCCAGGCAGTGGCCCGGCCTGGCTGCCCTCCCTTGGTGGCAGAAGAGGCTGCAGGGTCAGGCCAGGATGCGGAGACCCGATGGAAACACATCATCAGGGAGGAGCGTTTACCACCGGGGCTGCAGAGAGGGGCCCACGCCCTGTGGGCCAGGGTCGCCGCCCCTCATCATCCCCCACCCTCCTCCCGGCTAGCTGAAAAGCCAGGCCTCCACCTCCAGGAAGCCCCCCTGACCTCCTCCTCCCTTCCCCAGATTGGTCTTTGTATGGCATGTCGTCATCGCAAGTGCCCTGGGCAGTCACTCCTGGGGCGGGGTGCCGACACCCTGCCCGGCTCCCTGTTTTAGGCACTTTTAGGACCCGGCGATTTTGGACCCAGGGGCTCCGCCACCAGCAGCCCAGGGCACAGGCTCTCCTGCCGCCCAGTGTGACCGGATGGGCCGCTGGGGCTGCGAGCCATGGAAGTGAAGTGGGGGAGTGAGCAGAGCAGGGCCAGGCTCGGGAGCAAGAACGCGACCCCCCCACCCCCGCCCCCGTGCCAGGACGTGTAGCAGGGAGGAGGGAGGTGGGGCAGAGAGAATGAGGAGGGGCCCCCCAGGCCCTTCCCCTGGGCACCCAGGACGGGCGAGGGACCCAGAACGACACCAGCCTCGGGCCAACAGGGAGAAGGCCGGTGGCTGGCCCCGGCCACTGCCCGAGACTGCTCCTGAGTGCCCAGCCCTGGGGCCTCCCGGGCCTGCAGGGGTCCCTGGGTAGGGGCCGCCCCCATGGACGCACGCCTTGCTTGGGGGTGGCCAGGTAGGGCGCGCTGGGCCCCTGCTCCCCACCAGCCGCCCTGCCCTGAATGGCTGGGAGCCTTTTGTGGGCGAGCAGCTGGCCGCCCTTTATGTGGGGCTGTGGGAAAGTCTCCGAGCAGCCTCTCGCAGCCTCTCAAAAGCCGGATTATCTCACCCTGGCCGGCAGGACACCCTCTCAAGGACATCCCCTCGGTGGGGCGGGGGCGGGGGCGCCTCTGCAGAGGCCCTGTCCGCCAAGCCCTGGGCCAGGAAGGGTCCCCAGAGCCGAGAGACCCCCATCACCGGGCCCCCAACCCCCAGGGTCCAGCTGCCTAGACTCAGAGCTGCCCCCGGGGCAAGTGGGGTCTTCGGGGGGGCCCCTGCCCACGTCACCCCTCCCGTCTGCCCCTCCTGGTTGTCGGGCCCCTGGCCCTTCAGGGGATGGTCAGCGGACAGGCTTGCTTGGGGCCCACAGCCTACGCCCCCCCAAGCAACTCACAGGGCTGCGCCGACCCCAGCCAGGTCCAGGGCTGAGGCCAGACTTGGGGTGCTGGGTGGGGGGGACCACACACCCACTCAGCACCTGCTGTGAACAGCTGGGCGGGGCCTCTTCCTAGACCTGCTCAGAATTTTGAGAGGTAAGCGGGGCCCCAGCCGGCCCCCCCCCCACAGGCGAGCAGGGGGCAGGCCCACACCGAGCTGCTTGCTGGGGCCACAGGGCCTCTGAGGCACTTTGGCCCCAGGGGTCCATCCGCCCCTGCGGCATGGGCTGCTTCCCAGGAACAGGGGGCAGGTGGAGCCGAAGACCAGCAGCGCCCCGGTGGGACCTGCTGGCGTGCGTGGTGTCGCTGCGGCGGCCTGAGTGCCCGGCCTGCAGTCACTCCCTGGTCCTTGGCACATGCCCGGGATGGACCGACATGAGCCTCCTTCCACAGATGTAGAAACTGAGGCCGGGAGAGCCCAGCCGTTGAGTGGAGGCGCCTGAATTCAAACCCTGAGCCCAGAGTCCTACCCACGAGGCCAGGCTGCCTCCAGAGGGTCTCTGGTGGGCACCCAGGGGCTGCAATCCAAAGCTGGTGAGGGGCAGGGGATGGCAGCGGGGGGAGAGGAGGTGGGCATTCCCCTTTGGCCCCTCGTCAGGGCAGGGCTGGCAGGGGACAGGAGGGCGCTTCGGGGCCAGATGTGGGCCCCTCAGCGTTGTCGGGGAGCTGCTGTGGCGTCCAGTCCCCACCCCCCCAGGCCCCCTGGGGAGCCCCGCCCCGCTGGGAGGGCTGGTCCCCAGATGGCCTCTGGGCCCCAGCTCCATGCGAAGACAGGAGGCCCCTGGAAGGCGTCTGTTCGGATGAATGTCTTGGGGGGGGCGGGGAAGGTGTGGGAAGCCGCCCTGAGAGGCCCAAGTTCCGCTCTGGGCTGGGTGGGGGGCAGGGCTTCCCGCACTGCCCGGGGAGAGCCCCACACCCCTGGGCCTCTCCGTGTGGCATCGGACTGACAGAGCCCATGGGGCCAGGGAGACCACCGAGCGTCCCTCCCCACTGAACACTCAGAGAAACACAGGCCAAGGGGGTGCCCACACAGCCGTGCTCACTCTCCCACCGGGGTGGGTGGGGGCTGCCCTAGTGTGGGGT